TGACTGTCATGACATGTCAGCTTCATTAAAAGTATAGCTGCAAATTAAAAGCAACAATAGATGTAAAAACACACAGACACAATGCATCTGTGATCAGTTCCCTAATTTAATTTTAACAATTTTTTCAATCTTCTCCAATTTCTCGTTTTATTGTATGGAAGTGATCAATGTAAGTGCACTTGTCCTAGAACTGCCAAGACGGTTTTTACAATGCAAATAACTCTGTTTAGATAAAACCTACAAGCTTCTCTGCCTATGACTTTTACTAAAAATGTGTCTTGTATGTTTTCTAAAGCCTATAAGTTACAAAAATGAAACACACTAGACTTCTGAGCATTTATACCACCGACCGAAATTACACATTTTGACACATACAGGTAGGCTATACATATTGCAAAACTCTGTAAAAGTACACCAAAGCATACATTTTCGTTTACAAATATTTATTTGAAAACGAAACCATACATACTGTCAATAAAAAAACATTTTGTTTGACCGCGCCAGCCAGCGGGACTGCGGCGCATGGAGGGGTGCTGTAATCCTAGCGGTCCTAGTGTAAAGCACCACGGACAGTGCCAATGCATCTATCGCTGTAGCTCAGAGGCTCTGATGCCTGAGTCAGAGCATGTGAGCGGAGTTGGAGCTGGAGCTGCCTAAACCATAGGTTATTGGTAGGAAGAAAAATGGCTGCTGAAAAAACTGTCACTGTCAACTGCCTCCAAGCGCCGCAACGATCTGCCAGACCATCATATGTAACTTCATTGTTTATGCTGTCCATGTGCTCAGAAGCACACAATGAATGCATTTTTGAGTAATTTCCGAGAAGTTATGATAAAATTAAAAAAAAATATTACAGACTATAGAATAGGACTGACAACCTCTCCAATGTCTCATGTCAATTAATTAACACTATCTGTCGGCTTTTTATAATGCCTTTTTCTTTTGCTGCTGCTGCACTGTGTCTCCAGTTGAAAGTGGTGATTTGCTAAATACATTCTACAATCATAAATTAGATTAACCTTTGGTCTATAATATTGTTGGCTATATTACGCATTTTAATGAAAAAAACCTTAAGAATAAAATAAATAAACACCGAAATAACTAGTGGAAACTTTTTTTATTGATACTCCTCCTCTCTGACATACTAACAAAACACACACACACAAACACACACACGCACACGGCTGGCGCAGTCCCTGTTGAGATTATATTCGTTTTTTATTATTAACAAAATGGTTTTTTATTGACCGTATGAATGGTTTTGTTTTCAAATAAATATTTGGAAAAGAAAATGTATGCTTTGGTGTACTTTTACAGAGTTTTGCAATATGTTTACCTGTATGTATCAAAATGTATAATTTTCTGGGGCATCGGTGGCTTAGTGGTAGAGCAGGCGCCCCATGTACAAGGCCGTTGCCACAGCGGCCCGGGTTCGAATCCAGTTGAATCCAGAATGCAGTTTGCTGCATGTCATCCCCCCTCTCTCTCTCCCTCCCCCCTTCACGCTTACTTGTCCTGTCCATTAAAGGCAAAATGGTCCAAAAAATATCTTTAAAAAACAACAACAAAAAAAAGTAGAATTTTCAGCCGCTGCTGCGGTCGGAGGTATAAATGTTCAGATGTATTGTCTTTGTGTGTTTTTACATCTATTGTTGCTTTTAATTTGCAGCTATACTTTTAATGAAGCTGACATGTCATGACAGTCAAGCCCAGAAATACCCTGATTGCTTCAATGACGTCATCAAAGCGAAAAAGCGAGTCTGTTGATTTCTGCCACACTGACGAGCAATTGCAACTGAGTGATGAAGCGATATCAAAGGGGCGAACCGAGCGACAGCGAAAAAAAAAACAGGTCCGGTGTGAACACAGCTTTATACTGATATGTGTAGCCTAATGCAGCCTGGTCACAGTGAAAATGGCTATCCCTGTGCTCACTGCCTTCAATGTTTATCAAAGAGGGCTAAGAAAACCACTGTTTAAAATCACAGTTACCAATTCTTCTTCTTAGCTATCCAGTCTCATTATGCTATGTTACAGTGCAAATCTGACTGACTGTCCACTGTGGGTAAATGTAGATAATATGTAAGTTCCAATATCTTTAAACAGACCTTCTCATGTGTTATCTGCTTGAGTTTGACACAGAAGGAAAAAAATAAAAGCTACCCCCAGTATGTGAATGTGTATGAATGTATCACACTGTACCTCCCAGGAGTCTCTTCTGTGTGTGTAAATTTGGAGTGGTGCATCACTGGAGTCCATCACCACCCAGAGCCGGCCTTCCGGGTCAAAGGTCATGTCTTGTGGATAGTGGGGCAGGGAGAGCCTGCTGTGTGGCACAAGCTTCTCTTCACCCTCCTGGTCCAGACTGAAAAACTGAACCGTGGACACTCTGAGGACACACAGGAAACATCAAACTGATCAGCCGATCACTGGGTTGATCCATTACTGTTCAAGGAGACCAACTCTGAATGTGAAACATTGATGGAAGTGATGTCTTTTCTTTGTGCTCCTCTTTGCCTCTGACCTACTTTAAGTGCCCCCTACATGTGCAATATATACTTTACAGCTCCACACTGACCTTGTACTTCAATAGGTCCAAAAATACATTTAAAGATCAGAAGCAAAAATAGCTTTACACCAGCCGAGGTGCTGCTGTCATGTCAAAGTTAAAAGTAGCCTTCAGAGGGGGTATCCTGTCACAGCAACTATAACGGTTTGGAACTGAAATAAAAATGTTCAAAGTGACATGCTGTATAGAACTAACTCAGTGCTAGAGAGCAGGTCCATTCAGTGACTGATGAAGAACTATTACCATGTTCACTCATTCCTTCTGCAAGAAATAAATTCACTTCTACAGGGTTATCAGTCTCTGATTTACATTTTTAAATCCCTTTTTTTTTGTCATTCTGTGATCTGCAGTACTGATGTTTAGAGGTGAAAAGTAATCCAGCACATTTTCTTAAGTACTGAAATTAAGTTTAGTTTAGATGATTTTGCTAATTTTGTAAGGCTTTACTATTTTTCACTACATTAATGCGACTCCTTTATTTACAGCAGATATTTTCCATTTGCAAAGTTCATAGAATATGATCCACTGCTGAAGGTTCGACTATATCACGAGTTCTTAATTTAACGTGGACCATAGTCTGACAATAAATCACCTCTGCCAATATAAACAACACATATCAACAAATGACAAGACATGTGGCGTATATTCACTAAGCCTGTCAGAAATAACTGCCAGATGTGTCTGCAGAGCAATGGAGTGCAGAGGAAAGTCCTCTGCTGCTGAACTTGTAATATTCAGCACATAAGAGACTTTTGGGACTACATGCATAAATTCATTCTGTAAGAACAAATGTGAGGAAATATTACATAGTGATGTTTTCAGCTCAACAATAGGATCAGTGATTGAAAAAGTAAATGAAAAGATATTGAAAATCAGTGAGAAATTTTTGGTAAAACTCTTGACTAGATCCTATCTTTTTCCTGCAAGGAGAAAATATCATGTCCCACTTAATAATTATGACTAGTTGCTTTATTCCCTGGGTCTTCAACAGGGGGTCTGCATCCCTCAGGGAGTCCTCAGAGTTACTGCAGAGGGGCCACCAAACTATTGTTTATTAATTTAAGTTTTAATTATGTTTTTTATTAAAATATGGTTGAAAATACATATTAGCATGCATCCAACATATTATTAGGAAAGATACATCAGTCATTTAATTTAAAACTAGAATTACCACCTTGTGGCTGTATGCTTTTGCACACCAGTGAAGTTCCTCCTGTAGTTTACATATCCATGTCTGTGAAAACATAGATTCTTCACACACAGAAGATCTATACAATAAGCACAGTTTCAATTGCAGTGTCACCAATTCAGTATCAGACCAAATGTCTCGCCTTCTGTTCCTGAAATATGATGGTGAATAATGGCCAGGGCCCGTATTCACAAAGAATCCTAAGACTAAAAGTAGCTCTTAGTGACGTCATTCTAAGAAAAATCTTAGAATTCCTCTAATTCTAAGATTTTTCTTAGAATTTTCCCTTGGTAAGATAAAAGTTATTCACAAAGCATCTTAGGCCTTAAGAGAGCTCCTAAGGTGAAAGGAGGAGGACTTTCAAGAAGCCTAAGAGTGTCTTAAACAGAGAAGATGGCGGAAAGACAGAGAGGAAGGAGAGATATTCTCCATATATTGAACGACAGTGATTTAAAGGGCCAGTGTGTTAATGGGTTGAAAACAGTGACATCAGTGGCCAAATTCTAGATTGCAGGGCTCACTCGCTCACCCCTCCCGTCGGGTAAATGACGGCGGCCTCGTAGGGACAAAAAGCCTTGCGCACGAGTTTTTCAGGAGTAGGTCTATCTAGCGACGAGGTGAATATTTATTTAGAAATCTAAGCCATGTTACAATATTGTAATGAATCCCTCACGAGCAGGAGACCAGAGGAGCGTTCAGAAAAAAGGCCAGTTTATTTGAGCACTCCAGAAACTCCGGTAACACTCCAGGGGGTAAAAGACTCCGCCCCAGACTCTGACTCTTCTGGCGTAACAGACACACTCCATAACTTTACACACATAGGCTACTCGTTTACCATACCGAGTGGGGACCCCCCTCCCCTCTCTGCTCAATCTCCAGCCCGCACACTGACTGACAGCGTAGCCGGTGAACAGAGCTCAGCTGTTTATTTAGCCTAGCGATATCTCCGGACTATAGTAGCTGCAATGGACGACTTTGAACGCGATTTTGAAGAGTTTCTTGTAGCGGACACAGACCCAGAGCCATACCTGTTTGAGCCGGAGCATACAGATGAGGAACTCCATGTGTTTGATGCTGAGCGGGCGAGAAGAGAGGCTGAATGCACAGAATGGGATTCGGTGCTACTGCTACCATCGTTGGGGAGATATATCATCAGGAGGAAAAGCGCCGCAGAGAGTGCATCACAAGGAGTGAAGTTGCGTCTTCTTTTCCTCGCAGATGACGGTTCGGGTTCATTCTCTCCTGTTGCGTGGTAAGTGTGGTCCATTCGCAAACTTTATAACTAAAAAAACTTTTCACTACTCTCTATCGACGAACTACTAACACTCTCTGCTGTTTCCTCCTCCTTCTTCCTTCCTTCCGCTGTCTTCGTTGGTTCATTTATACACGCGAAACGCGTTCTCTGGCTGGCTGGATTGTCCGCTCGGTCTGCCGTACATACATGGCGGCGCAAGATGGCGACCTCTCTAAAGCAAGGCCCTTGCTATATATATATATATAAAAGCATAATTATAAGGCTACGAAAACCAAACAAATTTTATTTTATAGCGATTATACACTTGTATAAACATATTAATGGCCCTTTAATAAGACGCTACCAGCTTGATCATGCAGGGATAATGTTTGTGGTTGACCTCATCAGGAATGAGCTTACTTTTCCCACCCAGAGTAGTAAAGCAATAAAGCCCACTTTGGATTGCAGCACGTAAAAGCGCTTCTCACACTCATCGCTTGTGAATAAAAGGAGAGGGAACGACGCATTAATTTGTCAGGCAATACACTCCCAAGTCTGCCTCTTCCCTTGTGCCGTGATCCCGGGACCGAATTTCCCTCTTAAAACTCCTTTGTTCTCCTAAAAGAGCAGTGCCAACAGCAGGCACTGCTCTTCTGTCCAGTTCGGCTTTCTAGTTCTTTTTTTCTCCATTTCATTCGTTGTTTTGGTCATTCTGCCAAATCAAACCGTTTTTTACAAGGAGGCCAGCAATCACAGTAATAGCTGTCAGCAATTACTGACACACAGCAATAAGCAAATCAATATAATAATCGGCATGTGAATGAGGTACGTTCAAAGATTTTGAAGCTGCGTAACAATTCATTTCATTTTGCTGAGTTTCATCATCATGACATAAAATTATTTTCACGATTACACATTTCTTAATACAGTCTAAGTTCTATGATCGGTTGATTTCACTGTCTATTCATTACTAGGAGCGCATTTGTTTTTGTTTTGTTTTTTTTCTTTTTTCCTTTTTGTAACAACCAATCACAGCTTTTAGAAGACTGTGTCATACCTAGCAATGGGATCAACCACACCTCCTCACTAAGATAAAAGTTTCTGTCCCCTCCTTGCTCAGAGTTGCTCTCAGAAACTTCCTGAATCACTCTATTTTCAGAACATGACAATGTCACAGATAAGTTGACCTTTTGAATATAAAATGTCATCAATATTATTTTATCCTATTAGACATTTGTGTGAAGTTTTGTCATAATTAGTGTAAGAATTTCTTGAGTTACGGCCAAAAACATGTTTTGTGAGGTCACACTGACCTTGACCACTGAATTCTAGTAAGTTCATTGTTGAAATACAGTAGACCTTTTTGCCAAATTTGAGGAAATTCCTTCAAGATGTTATTGAGCTATGTTCATGAGAATGAAACAGGCAAGGTCACACTGACCTCGACCTATGACCTATGACTAGGGATAGGTACTGAAACCGGGTACTAAATTAGCTCTGATGTGATCGGTTCTTTTATCGGTACTTTTACACATTTTGGTTTAACTCATTATCATCCTGCAGCCTCTCATCTGCGCTCTGTGCCGAGGCTGACCTCCACCACATACACACACACGCACCTACACAACATGGTAGTCAGTGAACAGCCGAGTGGCCAAAGGAAACGAAGTGAAGAGAACTTGAAAATTATTGAGTTGACAGCAGCTACGCTCGTTACTAACCTTGTTTGACACTTATCTTAAAATTGGGCAAATACTTTTAAACTTAGTTGCTGGCTGATGCAAACAATCTCTCCTCTCTCTACCAGTGCTAATGTTAACCTGCACGTAGTGAATCACATCAGGAGAGAGGAAGCAGGACAGAGGACAGGAGGACAGCAGGACTGACTTACAGTGACTGATAAAAACTAAACTTCACTCAGTACTGTCATGTCAGGAATATTATTTTTCTAATGACTTTGCTGTTGTAAAAATTATTATTGCTGCTCTAGAAACAACAATTTGTTCTATTTAAAATATTCAATAATCCTGTTCTGAATTTATTCTTTTTTTAAATTAATGTTTTCTAAAAAACAATTATTTAGAAATGAAAAAGAACCAATAGGAGGACCAATAAAGTACCGAAACGAGTATCAATAAAAGTAGTAGTATAGATAAAACCTTAATGATACTGATCCCCAAAATCTTATCAGTTCATTATGATCCAACTGGGCAGTTGTGCCATTTTTGAAAAAAAAAAAAAAAAAATCTCTTGAGGCGTTCTTGAGATATGGTGTTCACAAGAATGGGATGGACAGACAACCCCAAAGCATAACGCTTCCAGCAACGCATAACAAAACCCAACAATAGTTTAATGGATTTGTTAAAAACTTTGGTTACATTGTGTGTTTATGCAACACAAAATAATATCTACTAATATACAGTACCTCGGCTATGAAAAAATGCTTTTATGAGGAATGATGTATTGCATCTCATGCACTTAGATCATGTGGCACACGCACACCTGCATGCATGTGGTGCTGCATTATACAGTCCTGCCAACAGTCTCATGCTGTTCCACTAACCCTTTCTCCATTTGCACTTCATACAGAGCAAAACATGCAGACAGGCAACACACAGGCAACAACTAAGTCCGATAACAATGGCCAAGGCAGCATCACAACAAATAACCCTGTTACATGTTTGTACAGAGTGCTCATACTCACCTTTCACACTGAACTGCTACATGGCAACCATCAGGAGAGCTGGTGATTCTGCACACAGTTGGCTTCTGGGAAGTAAAACAAAGACAGACAGTGGGTGTTTCTCAAAGTCAAGGATCCTTCCTTGCCAGAGGCAAGGCAAGAGTCCTCCCAAGCATTCAGTGAACACCCATTGGAACAGGCTAAAAAGTGTCCCCACGTGATCATCATTAACCCTCAGCAGAGTGAAGAGGTTTCAGTTACTGTGATCATTTTGGCATGTTGTTGGACAGTTTTAAACACGTGTATCAGTATTGTAAGAATCACGTGACTTTTAGGGAGAATATATTTCTGGATCATATTTAAGAGTAAGTGGAGTAACGAAGTAAAGACAACAGCTGAAAAAGTTCTAAATGATCATTTACAGTATATAAACAGACTCGCACCCAGAATCACAGTCATTTAACAGTGATCGCTTTTTAAAAACATATTTTCTGTCTGTGTCACCACACTGCGCTACAATAATATGAAATATCAAAAATAAAAAAATATGAGTAACTGTATTCCACTATAGTTTAAATTGGTGGTATTCTAAATACAGTTACTGTCTTAAAAAATAGATTACTTGAAAGTATTACTGTGTTTTGTTTTATTTGTTCCAACACTGTGTACCAACTGAATGTGATGGGAGGAGCATCAGTTTGATTGCACTGTTTTCTATTGGAATGTTCTGACTGGCAGCAAGTGATGCAGCGCTGCTGATCTGAGCTGAACTTTTTCAGAAGCCCCATTTCTATTAATTCCTGTTGCTAACTTTGAAGGGTCTGTGGTGGGCGAGGAACAGCTGATTCATGTATTTGAAATGAGGAGTTATCGACACAACACCTCCTCATTTAACTGCAGAAACCTAAATAAGGTGTCAGCTGTCTGGAGGGAGATCACCGGGGAGCTTAAAGTTTCTGGTAATAATTATCTCCTTGCTGTTGGCTATATTTTATGTAATTTCCAGTAAATATCACAATATAAATTGTAAATCCATTGTTATCTGTTTAAAAAGTACAAACACAGAGAGAGAGCAAGTACTTGCCCAACTTTTAAGTGGTTACAACTCCTGTCGAGTAAGCTGTTGATAGCCTATGTGGATTGTTTACATGACTGAACAGAAGTATTTAACAGATTTAATGTGGACAGAGATGAGGTGCAAACTTCCCATAAACTGATTATAAAAACTGTATGCAGTGCACCTGGCACACAACAATAGCCCCTTTTCCACCGCAGGAACTTTTATCATTTACCCGGGCTTTTGAAAAGCCTCTGTGCATTTCCACCGAAATTACCTGGGGGAAAAAAAACTTTTCCTCAACCCCAATCTTTCCCTGAAAAAAGTACCTAGTAAGGGGGTAGGACTTTTCAGATTACCCGGAATTCTTGAGGGGCGGGGCTGCGTGCCGAGGAACGCTGATTGGTGGACTTGCAGCGTTTGGCACTTCCTGGTACAGGCAGCCGCTGCAAACTTTGTTTCATTTCTACAGGCTTCACTTCGTTTGTGTTTTGATTAAGGATGGGTACCAAAACCCGGTACTAAATTAGCCCCGGAACTAAATTATTAAAGACCGTACTATTGTTAAGCGCTAACGGTATCGGTTCTTTTGTGCCGGTGCTAAACTCCTCCACATACACACACACACGCCTATACGACACGGTAATCGGTGAACAGCCAAGCAGCCGCAGTGGAAACGAAGTGAAGATAACTCAAAAATGACTCGAGTTGATGGCAGCTACAGTAGTTACTGTAAGTGACATTAACCCTTAGCGAGTAAGAAGCCAATACTTTATCAATACATGTGTTCAGTAAGCGTGAACATGTAAACATGTAGACAGAGATATTCAATATGCTCCATCCACAGACTCTCATCCACCAACACTAACTTTATGTCTTACACAAGCACAGCACGCTAGTTTGGCTGATAGTGAATTGTTACTAATGAGCTCAAATGACAGCTGTCTGTATGTAGACTAACTTAGTCTGACACTTATCTTAAAATACTTTTAAACTGAGCTGCTGGCTGAAAGAAACAGCCCAGCCCAGACCCGACAAATGAGCTCAGCAAGATGATTTTGAAGTACTTCAAAAATAATCCAAAGTATTTAAAATATAGTATAAATATGATTTTAGAGCATGTAATCAGCAATCTGTAGCAGAATATGTTTTATAAGTAACCCTCCCAGCAATGTCCATTAATAACAAACACACACACACACACACACACACACACAGCCAATTTTATGCATTATTGTAGCACTACTGTCAGGACTGAAAAAAAGACAAAGACAAGGACTGAGTGCTGTGATATTTATGTGTGTGTGTGTGTGAGATTGAGATAAAGAAAGACTGACTAAGAGAGGGGAAAAGAAGGTGGAAGATGAACTACTGCACATATTATTTTCTGAAGTTATTAATAACTTACTTTGAAGGCTGCTTTGTTACTTTATAAACCATCTGCCCAAACTGGCTAGCTGCACATACGCATGTTTACTAGGACTGGGAATCACACTTAAGTCACAATAAAATTTTATTACAACTTTAAATTTGTTGCAATATGCTGAGTATTGCGATAACATATATTGTGATATATCGCGATTTATTACCTTTTTTCAACTGTAAATTGTGTCCCCAAAGGAAAACTTTAACATCTGTTTTGTCTAATAAGATAAAGTTTATCTCACCTCAGCCTTTTTTTTTGGAGCAGCAAAATGTATCTAGTGCACCGAAAAACATTGATTATATTATTCTAGTAGGCTACCAGAAGTTTTATTTGTATTTATAATATTAATAACTTACATAATTAAAAAATCAATACTTGGCAGTGTGTGACGATATCATATTGCCACACAAAAATATTGTGATGATATGCTACATCAATTTTTAAGGACTATATGAATGAGCATAAAGCAGAGTTTCCCAAGCTGACAAAACAAAGTAATGTGACAAGACCAAACCAAAAACAGAAAGTAACACCTGTTCACTTGCACATTAATACTTTTCCTTCTTTTAGACATTCCCTTCTCATACAGGCCTGCATGTTGGTACTAGATCCAGGTAGGACACAAAGGTAGGGAATAATAAGATAAAGAAAGAATATTAACCTTTCAGACTTAACAAATTACATTTTCAAATAGTTCATTTATCATTTTGTGGATATTTTATTACATTTGGAAATCAATTACCCTGAATGTAATTTTGGTTGGATCCAATGTCTGTATTTGGTGCCCTGGAGATGGGGGTTTTTATTTACAAGCCACTGAGGGGCTTAAAAAGAGTACAGCCGAGAAGCCATGAATAAACTGCTGAAGAATGTCACACAGAGAGAGAGGGAGACATCTATTGATATCCTCTGGAATTGGGGACAATGTACAGCCACTCTGGAGAAAACTGATCACTTCTATAAGACAGTTCATTGATGTGAGATCAATTTCAATTCAATTTTATTTATAAAGCCCAATATCACAAATCACAATTTGATCCTGCTCACCTAGAGTGGATACCCTCAATAATAACAATAATAATAATACTAATAATAATATTTGTTCAATTACAACTTTATAGCTTTGATGGTCTCATCTTGTATAAACCTATGCAACTATGGTGGTTATGAGATAAAAACCTGCACCAGCCTTTGAGTGTGTTTTGGTCGAATTCTTTTTTTTTTTCTATCCTAACTGAATACTCACATGACAAATGTATGTTAGGAGTTAGTGGTCACTATCATTAGTCCTCCTTTCCATAGTGATCCCTTTCTCACCAGACTACACTATAAAAGTCTCTGTGTTATGCAAAACACATTCTTAACTCTAGCTGAAGCTAATGTTATAGCTGGATGGATGGACGGACGAACGGTCAAGAAATCACCAAAGTCATTAGGACATGCCACAGCCTTGTTGATAGGGTATAACATGCTGTTGTTACTAATATGGTTACCTTCCGTTTGTCAGCCTCAGAGTTCGGTGTCTCTTCAAGCTCTTTGAGGTCCCAGCTCTGCAGCTTACGGCCTGACTCATACTCCCACAGCTTTATGGTCCCATCCTGACAAACACAAACACACTTCACATTACACTGAAACTCAACTGTACATTGATTATAACTGTCCCTGATGGAAGCTCGTATCAGCTTTGACATCATGTTGTCAAAGTTTCAAGTTACTGTCATCTTTGCTGCATTAAAATACAAACTTGTGTCATGGTACATTATTACAATTTTTTTCTGATTTGACGTTTATGTTTCATTGTCAAAAAATCAACTGTTTACATGGCTTTGGTTTATTAATCTGATTTGAACAATCTGGTGATAAGTATGATTTCTACCCATACCAACTCTGCCACCTCTCTACAGAGATGGAGACTGTGTCAAGTCAGTTTTATTTATATAGCACATTTCATATGATATGCGTAACCTCAATTCTCATACATGAGAAACATAAAATATCATGTAAGATAGTAAAGTATTACGTATATAAAAGAAAGCAGGACATGATAAAAACAAACAAAGGCTACTACTATCATCATTATTCTTAAAAAATGGGAGATAATAACAATAATAATACTAATTCCTCAAACAAATAAAAATACACTTAAAAACCTTACTAAAAGCTTGTGAAAAAAGATACATTTTTAGTTTGCTATTAAAAGAACACTGTTGTAGCAGACCGTAGTTCATGTGGAAGAGAATTCCAGAGAGTAGGACCATAATGACTACAAGCACCATGAGCTGATTGAGAGTTGATTTTAGGTACAATGAACAGACCTTTATTTGTTGACGGGATATCTCTGGTGTGTGAGTATTTTAAAATCAATTATTTGTTGTATTTGGATCCAGTGAAGAGACGATAAAATAGGAGTTATGTTGTCAGACCGTTTTGTTTTTGTTAAGATTCTGGCTGCTGCATTGTGAATAAGCTGGAGTTTATTTAATGTCTGCTTTGTCAGTCCAGCAAAAAGTGTATAACAGTAACCCAGGCTACTGGAAATAAAAGCGTGAACCAGCTTTCTTTTCAGAATCTGACTGACACAAGAAGCATCTAACCTGATATATTTCTGAGGTGATAAAAGACAGTCTTAGAAATATTAGAGATGTGCTTCTAGCAGTTAAGTTCAGCGTCTAAAATCATACCCAAGTTTTTGACATGCTCACATGGTTTTACAGACAGGGAAGTTAACAAAGATTGAATTTCATTCACCATCCAAAGTCTGATATCTATCAGACTGTATGAGATCATTTATCAGCTAAGGTTGTTGGTGGAAACAGATATATATAACTGTGTGTCATCGGCATATGATTGATATGAAATAATATATTGCTGTATTATGGACCCAAGCGAAAGCATGTACAATTTAAACAACAAAGGATGTAGAATTGACCCCTGAGGGAAAAACCAATTTAGAACAGTGCCTTTAAGGCCTACACAATGTTCAAGGAGCAGAGGAAGAATAACATGGTCCACAGTGTTGAATGCTTTACTGAGGTTGAGGAGTACCAGAACAGAAACTTTATGATTGTCAGTGCTAATTTTAAGATTATTAACAACTCTGACTAGGGCAGGGGTTAACTGTGGTACTGTGGTTAACTCTAAAACCAGACTGGTAAATATTAGGGATGCACACGATTAGACGTCGAAACGATTAAACATCCGCCACCTCGGAAGTCGGCACCAGAAATATTAGTTGGTTAAACCTATTAAGTTTTTCTTCATGTACAAGGCCGCTTAACTGTCATGGAGCCGCCCGCCACTAACGGGTGCTACAGAGCCATCAGACAGCAGCCCCCCTCCCAGCGGTAATGCTCAAATAGATTGGAGTTTTAAAACAGCACGGTGGGAAATTGGAGATGTCCTCTCGCAAAACCAGCGCAATTTGGCAGTACTTTGATCTAGAAAATGAATTCTCCAGCAATTTATCTTTTTTTGAGATGTCATATTATTTGTTAACTTTTGTTGTTGTCATAATGTGGAGGGTTTACATTTATTTATATTTACTCGTGGTAGTATACCTTTGCACACCCGTCAAGTTGCAGTTACAGTTTACATCCATGTCTGGGAAAACATGGATGCTTCACACACATCTCCCCCCTGGCAGCACAGAAGATCTATCCAATCAGCACAGTTTCAAGGTGGACATCCAAGATGAGTGTCACCAATTCAGTATCTGACTGAATGTCTCCCCTTGCGTTGTGAATTATGATGTTGAATAACGGCCAAAAAAGGGCTTTTGCAGAACATCATGATGTCACAGCAAAGTTGACCTTTGACCCTTTGGATATAAAATGTCACCACTTCATCATTTTATCCTATGAGACATTTGTGTGAAATTTTGTCATGATTAGCATATGAATTCTTGAGTTATGGCAAAAAACATGTTTTGTTCAGTCACAGTGACCTTGACCTCTGACCTTCAAATTCTGATCAGTTCATTCTTAAGTCAAAGTGGATGTTTGTGCTAAATTTTGAATAAATTCCCTCAAGGCGTTCCTGAGATATCGTGTTCATGAGAATGAGACAGACAATCTAAAAACATAATGCCTCCAGCCACGACTATCGCTGGTGTGGAGGCATAAAACATGGAAGACATGTTGAGATGCACACAGACCTAAACACAAACCTTTGCCAACACTAAATAACATGCAAATCTTTACTAAAGTCTGCTGATTCTTTATCATTTGGTTTAGTGACAAAGCAGCAGCTCAATGTTGTTTTGCACCTGACCCTGAAATCCTACAGAACCAGAACCACTATAGTTACAGGGTTTTTTTTGGGAAGTTTTTCCTTATCCGCTGCAAGGGTCCTAAGGACAGAGGGATGTCATATGCTGTAAAGCCCTGTGAGGCAAATTGTGATTTGTGATATTGGGCTTTACGAATAAAATTGATTGACTGATTGAATGAATTGATTACAGTTACAAATACAGTTGGACGGCAGCAGCTCAGTCCATAGGGACTTGGCTTGGGAACCGGAGGGTCGCCGGTTCAAATCCCAACCTGGACCAAAATATGAAGTGTGGACTGGTAGCTGGAGAAGTTCACCTCCTGGACACTGCCAAGGTGTGCCTGTCCATGGGCAGCCCCCTCACTCTGACATCTCTCGATTTAATGCATGTAAAGGAGTGAAAACACTGAATTTCCCCCTTGGGGAATAATAAAGTATATAAAAGAAAAAAGAAAATCAGAAATCATCCAACAGGTGCAAAACCCATGAGTCACATTTCCAGAACCTAATTGACTCCAGACTAAAATGGAGAACATGAAGCTCATATTATTAACTAGAAAATGCATTTCCTGGGGAACATGCATGTGGATGCTGAATGCTGAAATGAAACAAAATGCTGAAAATGCAGAAATATCAAACAAATTGCCACAAACATCTGAAAATCCTAACAAAGCTGAACTTTGACATTTGAATGGTTTCTGTAGCTGAAGGTATGTAGAAGTAGTGATAATTCAAAAAATGTACAGAAGTAGTAGAAGCAGTGCTACTACTAGTAGATGTAGAGTTAGCAGTAGTAGCACTAGTTCATACTTTAATAGCATATAAAGCAGAAAAAAATAAAGTATGAATGTCCTTAAAGAACTGAACATTTTGACATTTGCAGGGCTTAAAGTGAAAAATTTTCCTGAGCCTGAAACCTGAAACCTGGGGTGGGGGTGTACATCTTTTGCACAGCGGCAATCTTTGTCAATCGTCCTCGGAAGAGGTCCGTCTATAATTTGTCAAAGATGGCTGCTGTGCATATAACCCATTGACCCACACTTACCTCAGTTTTGCTGATTCTTTACTGTATTGCACCCTGCAATGGCATCAGGGTTGCCAACTTTTCAAAAAACCTTGGAGAGATTCAGCGTGGCCGAGCACAATTTAGTTGTTTAAGCCAACACATAAAATTTTTGTCTGTCAACTGATTTGGTAGATGCGATCCTGATCCCCCGCATCCTAACAGATTTTTGGGGCGCCTGCTGGAGATGGATAGGGCCTAAAACCTTACATGCCAATATCATACAGAAAGAGAAAATGGTGGTATAGTGGGGGTCTGGGGGTCCTCCCCCAGACAATTTTGGATGTGGTAGATGTGATTTCCTGAATTCTGGTGGGTTTAGGGGTAGCATTCTGGAGATGGGCAATACCTACATTCATTCAAAGCCACTCTGACTTGCAGGGCCTTCACAAGTGAACCTGCATTCAGCTCAGAGTGACTGAACTAGATAAAACCAGAAACTAGGCCTTGCCTATGTGGCATATAGCCTATTACTTTGTAGACACAAGACCCATTTTGGATTTAAAGCAAAATTTGTGGTTGAAATGGAGAGCAACGCTTACTTCCTTGTTGGCCTACAGAAAGATGTCATCCCTGGAACACTCTATAGACCAGCATATGGACTTTAATTATTTCACAATTTATTGGTTCAATTATATAATTTTTACTCCATTTATTCAAATGATATTTATTTCAAAATGTATTATTCAGTCACTGAAAAATATATTTTTATATATATTTTGATTAAGATCTAACAAATATTATTTTGGGAATAATAATACATTTTGTGTATTATTGTAGTCTAAAGAGCAAGTCTAAGAGTGCCTGGACCTGGGCCATTTCATTTCATTTTTGACATTTACAAAGCTCTCCAAATGCCTTTTGACAGAGCTGTGGAAATTAATCACAAAGTCACTTTTATGCTATAGATATTTTTTCTCAGCCAGTTATATTCTCTTCTAACCTGTGAAGACCCTGCATGATCATCCTTGCTGGCCTCTGGTCCACTTTCTCCTCCCTGACCCTGCTCTTTCTATTGTAGCAATAAAGATTAAAAAAAATATGTGGAAAGCAAAATTTCAAAATAAAATTAGGAATAGTAGTAGTGAAATTGCTGTAGAAATTAACCTCAAAGTCACTTTAATGCTATAGATAATTTCTCTCAGCCAGTTATAATCGCTCCTCACCTATGAAGACCCTGCATGATCATCCTTGCTGGCCTCTGGTCCACTGTCTCCTCCCTGACCCTGCTCTTTCTATTGTGGCAATAAAGATTGCACAAGTTCTTATTAAGGAGGAGAGGGTTTTTTCCTAGAATCAAACTAGCTAGCAAGCAATTCAATATAGGTAACAATAACATTAGTATTCTTGTTAACTAGCTTAACTTGATATATTGGCATCTATTAATTAGTCATCATTTAGCATCTAAACGCAACAGCATTACTCAACTTACACGGTTTGGAAGAAACTGTGCAAGGTTTTTTGCTTCTTGCTGGCTGGTTTGCTGAACATAGTTAACACACAGCAGCACTGCCCAGCAGCACACGTCTTATCTATGCGATTGATTCAGATCACAACATGACAGCGTAGTCGGCTGACTGTGAGACTAGAGCTGCCCAATCAAAGCGCAAATGGATTGCACACCAATCAGAGAGTAGTTTTCCAGAGTAACATTTGGCTGCACTCCATTTCCCTCAACTGGTAAAAACTTTGGTGCAAACTTCAACTCCACCCACCGGGTGCGCCGGCTGTTTGAAATTAATTTAAAATACTCAGCTGCCAGCCTTTTTCCAGCGTTCATCGCTGGTGTGAGAATTGGTTGGGCAGAGTGAGACTGTGAGATGGAAGGTGAACGCGTGTGTCACACGCCAGATGCGTGAGAGTTGGCAAACCTGCCGTCTACTCTACTTCAACGCTACTTAGCTCTCTCTCTCTACCGGTAGACTACAGCATCCACCCTGCATTTGATTGGTTTCTGTAGCTCAAGGTATGCAGAAGTCGTAATCAGAAAATGAACAGGAAAAATAGTAGAAGCAGTACTACTACTAGTAGTAGTAGAATGCTGAAATGAAAGAAAATGCTGAAAGTGCAGAAATATCAAACAAATTGCCACAAACATCTGAAAATCATTACAGAGCTGAACGTTTTCACATTTGAACTGGTTTCTGTAGCTGAAGTTATGTAGAAGAAGTGATTAATCAAAAGATATACAAGTGCTGCATACTAGCACAGCAGAGACAAGACAGGCAGAAAGCAGCTCTCAGCAGGTTTTTTTTTTTTAATGGACATGGGACCTCTCAGACTCCTCCCTCCTATTCCCAAACCGTGAGTCCGATCATAGTCTAGCATACCACCAGAGAAATACACTCCTCCCAAACGCACACATATCTTTGTGATGTTTGTGGTGTCAAAAATGTGATCATACTCACAAGTTTGACATCTGGTACCCCTCAGCTATTTTCCAGAAAATTTTCCTCTCAGTTTACAAAGGAGTGAATGAGAAAAACATTGGCGCTCCCTTCACTTTGGAGTTCACTGAGCCAAATGTGTATGTGTGAGTGAGTCCATGGGGACAGCTTTGCGACCAGCACAAATTTTCCTGCATTTTGAGATATAACTTGTGTATGTAGAGTGAAAATTGTGGGAATGAGAGCCACTTGTTGGAAATTTTTTTGAATATTTTAAAGCTGCACTCTAACGATGATGTCACATGCTCTAGCCCTGTCCCATAGAGGCCCATTATAAATGCAGAAAATGTCCAAAAACAGCATAAAACTAAAACTGCGATAACTTAGTTAATAACCAAGTTATTGTGACCCATTAAAAGTTTGAATGAAGTCTCTAACTGAAAGTATGCAGAAGCAGTAACATTTTTAAGTATAGTGGGTTGAAGAGGATTTGAAGATTTTCCCAAAAGAAATGAATGGCAAAAAAAAGTTACAAAAAGCTTAATTTCATAAAAAGAATAAATACCAGAAATGTGAAAAGATATAGCACCCATGTCCTGAATTAGCTGAACATTTTGGTAGTTGAATGGTTTCTGTAGCACAAAGTATGTAGAAGTAGTTAGTTGCCAAAAAACATATGGAAGATGAAATAACAAGAATAAAGATTTGAATATCAATAGTGTGGCTGCAGAAGCATCCACACTAATAAGTGGCCTGTGTGAATATGCATATGTGTGTTAATGTAACTTTGGGAAATGCACACACACCCCTGATCCAGACAGCAGCCAGTGTGGATGACTTGGTGGCACCAGCAGAGCACTGACAAACCTGACAGAAAAACAAGAACAGTATTGATCAAATCAAACTTAACCTGATACCCCAATGAGAACACGAACACACACACACACACACACACACACACACACACACACACACACACACACACAACGGTTCTTTCGTGTACATTCAGTAACTCACTGTTGATGTCCTAGACAGAAGGACTGGATGTTGTACGGAGACCTGAGGTGGCTCACTCTGATCTTCTCATCACGGTCGGCTGTGATGATGTACTTGTCGTCTGGTGACATACTCTGAAAGACAGCAGAAGGGGACAATCAGGCAGACACATATTCTGAGACAATGGTACACTAATACTTGCCCACAGTAAGGCCATCTGTGTGTGGGACCGCACTCCCTTGATTCCCATCATACAGAGTTTAAAAAACATATCTTTTTTTTTTTTTTTTTTAAAACAAACCAAGCCTTGTATGCATTGTCTTTTACTAGCTTAAACAATGTCATGAAATCTGGGTTTAATAGCCAATTTTTATTGCACTTCCCCATGTTGTCCAGGGTACAGCAACAGCTAGCTAGCAGGCAGTGGACCACCTGCTTTGAGCACCGTGGCTGGAAACAAAGTATGAGTGTTGTTGGTTCTGCTATTCTGATGTGCATGATGTTCATATAATAAGCATTTGGTAAGTTTTCTGTTAAAAGACAGATGTTACCAATTGTTCTGAAATTTTAGAATGCAACGACAGACAAAAACAATAAAATTTTACCTCCTCCTCTCATGCATTTTCAAGACTTTTGAAATATTGATTAAAGGCAATATATTACGAATTAAGGCCTAATTTTAAGATTAACGAATTCAGTGCCCTTAAAGACTTTAAGAATGTAAAGAAATCCTGATTAAAATTGACTTGAAACATCAGAGTAGTGCTTGAAAATTAGAATTTGATGGTACTTCCAGTAGTTCAAGCAGATAAGCAGTTTGACAAAAAAAAAAAATTCTCAACACAAGATGTTTTTTCGTGGCAGAATTTGTTTGCTGGGCCGAGGGCAGAAGGCAGAGTATTTTGTTTAGGACTGAGCAGTAACATAACATGTATTTTGGACTGACCACTGCAATGATATCGTAACGGTGTCTCGTAAACCCATGAGGGTTGGGCATATGTTTGTGTTTATGACACACACACACACAATATAATCAATCTATCTACAAAGGAGGTGTCTGATGGAACAGACAAGGTCTGTCACAATAACAGCCTTTGGAGGATGAAACTGTACTTAACGCCCACTTCCCCCTGGAGGAAGAGGTCATCCCTCAGAGCAGACTTACCACCAGGACTCATTCAGGGTCAAAATGCAGACCCCACACAAGGAAGTTTTCTTTAAGATCACCAGTTCTTAGGTGAATGTTGACATTTTTGGTTCTGTATTGTTTAAGGCAGTTTGCCAATTTTGTAGCATTAGGGGTAAGTATGGAGCGGAGGAAGGGAGAAAATAATGAATATGGCAACCCAGAAAAAGTTATTGAAAATAGCTTCATATAATGTGAATAGGATACTTAATCCAATTAAAAGGTCCAAGATATTAGGCAAGATGAGAAAGGAGGGGGTGGGAGTGGCTATGTTGCAGGAGACGCACCTATCAGAGAGGGAGCATGAAAAACTTAAAAGAAATGGGTTTAATCAAATATTTTCTTCATCTTATGGAACAGGTCATAGAAGAGGAGTGGCCATAGTGGTATCGGGGAAGATTACGTTTGAAAAACTTTCAGAAACATTAGACAAACAGAGAAGGTATATATTGATCAAGGGGAGACTAGAGGGTGAGTTGTCACCATTCTTCATACGTTTATGCCCCCCCAGGGTCAGACTGGATATTTTACAGGCAGTTGTTCGATTTGGTGGTATCAGAGGGGGAAGGTATGTGGGGCGGAGACCTAAATCTCAGACTAAACCCATAACTTGACTGTTCTGTCAGCGGAATACAAAAATCTACAATTAGTAAGAAGTTTGTAGGATTCATGGCAGAACTGGGGATAATAGATGTATGGAGAGAATTAAATCCTTAAGAAAAAGACTATACATATTTCTCGGCACCTCATTCAATATACTCCAGAATAGACTATTTTTTTTTTATGTAAATAAGGACAGTTACGGGATTGAAAAATGTGAAATTGGAATAAGAGACATATCAGACCATAGTCCAGTATATATAACTCTCGCTTTGCCAAGAGAAACAAAAGCAACACTTTGGAGGTTAAATATAAATGTACTGAAAGGACAAATGAAGGAGGAATATATTAAAGAAATTCAGACGTATGTAAGGGAAAATGATAAAGGTGTAGTGTCTACATCTGTGCTGTGGGATGCGTGTAAAGCAGTGATTAGAGGGAAACTAATAGCTAAATCAGCGTATTTGAAAAGGCAAAAACAGGAAAAACTCAATAAGTTAGAATCAGAACTTAGAAAACTAGAAAAAGAACACAAAAATAAGGTGGTTGAGAAAATAAACCGATATCAAACGGATTAAAACAGAGATAAATTATATTTTAGCAAAGCAGATTCAAAAAAGCTGATGTACATTAAACAGAGGTATTACGAAGCAGGAAGTAAGTCTACAAAGCTGCTGGCCTGTAGATTAAAAAAGCAAATGGCAATTAATAATATTTACAAAATTAGGGATTAATTTACTAATTCGACAAAATATAAGACAGTGGACACATAAATGTTTTGAAACGTATTACAAGAATCTATATTCTCAACCAAAGATAAGTAATGACAATCAGATATTCCAATTGTTAGATTCATTTAATTTACCAAGAGTGACAGAGGACCAAAACTCAGCTCTGATAAAGGAAATCACATCAGAAGAAATAAAGTCGGCGATTTCAAAGCTGAAGACAAACAAGGCTCCAGGCACAGATGGATACACCTCAGAGTTTTATGAAGTGCTTAGGGAACCATTGATCCCCCTATTAAAAAAATGCATTTAACTGGGTGCTAAAAGAGGGAGAAATTCCAAACTCTTGGAGGGAAGCCTTAATTTCGGTTATTCCGAAAGAAGGAAAGGACAAAATGGAGTGCTAATTATAGACCAGTTAGTGTTCTTAATCAAGACTACAGATTATTCACTGCTATCCTAGCCAGACGCTTAGAAACAATTTTGCCAGATATAATACATCAGGACCAAACCGGATTTATTAAACAGAGACAGACACAGGACTAGGGTTGGGATCCGGATCCGGTTCTTTTTTGGAAGCGGGTCCAAAGTTCCAGTTCCGGAACCAGTTCGATCACATTTGGAGTAAGGGTTCCTGCAAACGGTTCCTAGATTGTAAAAAAACCCCATCACATGCATTTCCATTAGAGTGCGGCATGGGCCGCATATTTCTGTCTGAACCCGACCGAGCCCGACATTATTTAATTACTAAAGCACTGAGTTTGTGTCACACAGTTGTTATGGTAATTTAACAATTTCTGGAAAAACTGGGTGGATTTTATATCACCACTGAGAGCAGTCTTTGTCCAGTAAGGGCACTGGGCCTTATAGATCCCCTTGATTTATGCTACAAGTTTTTTTGGTTTTTTTTTCATGGTTCACATGTTTATTTTCATTGTAATCCTCCAACAGGGAAAAAAAGGGAATGAAAATAAGGATTGGAGTGACAAAAGTACTCCATATTATTTCAGGTCTACTCGACTTTAACTTAAACTGTGTGTTTATGCCTATTTATGTTTTCATTCCCCTGTATAGAGTATGGGTTTGTTCTGTATATCTGGAAAACATGTATACAAGGTGTAAGATGTGGATGGGATGATGCTGTCTGGAATCAATAAAAAAAGTTAATTACAAAACATAGAAAGAAATTGAACTAAACAATATTGACGTTTTGTAGACTATTCTATGCTACTGATATATTGGTAATAAACTGCTCAAAAAAATAAAGGGAACACTTAAATCACACAACCCCAGATCTCGATGAATGAAATATTCCAGACGAAAATCTTTATTGATTACATAGTGTAATTTGTTGAGACAAAATAATGTAAGAACAATCCATGGAAACCAAAATCATCAATTCATTTAGGACTGGATTCAGAATCATACCCAAAATCAAAGTGGAAAAATCAGATCACAGGCTAATAAAACTTCTGTGAATTTCCTCAGGACAACTCATAATGTAGCTCAGTAGTGTGTATGGCCTCCACGTTTCTCTATATATTCCCTACAACGTCTGGGCATGCTCCTGATGAGACAACGGATGGTCTCCTGGGGGATCTCCTTCCAGACCTGGATCAGGGCATCAGTCAGCTCCTGAACAGCCTGTGGTGTGATCTGGCTGCGGTGGATGCTACAAAGGTGCTCGATTGGATTCTGGGTCTGGGGTCTGGTCTGGGGAACGGGTGGGCCAGTCAATAGCATCAATGCCTTCGTCAACCAGGAACTGCTGACACACTCCAGCCACATTAGGCCGGGCATTGACATGCATCAGAAGGAACCCAGGGCCCACTGCACCAGCATATGGTCTGACAGTGGGTCTGAGGATCTCATCCCAGTACCTAACAGCAGTCAGGGTACCTCTGGCTAGCACGTGGAGGTCTGTGCAGCCCTCCAAGGATATGACTCCCCAGACCATCACTGACCCACCACCAAACCGGTCATGCTGGAGGATGCTGCAGGCAGCAGAACATTCACCATGGCATCTCCAGACTCTGTCACGTCTATCACATGTGCTCAGTGTGAACCTGCTCTCATCTGTGAAGAGAACAGGGCACCAGTGGTGAATCTGCCAATACTGGTGTTCTCTTGCAAATGTCAATCAGGCTGCACAGTGCCGGGGTGTGAGCATACGCCCCACTTGTGGACGTGGGGCCCTAATGCCACCCTCATGGAGTCTGTTTCTGACAGTTTGGGCAGAAACATGCACACAAGTGGCTTGCTGGAGATCATTTTGGAGGACTCTGGCAGTGCTCCTCCCGTTCCTCCTTGCACAAAGAAGCAGATAGCGGTCCAGCTCCTGGGTTGTTGCCCCCTCCACCTCTCCTGGTGTCCTGGCCTGTCTCCTGGAATCTCCTCCATGCTCTTAACACTGTGCTGGGAGACACAGCAAACCTTCTGGTCACTGTGTGTATGGATGTGTCATCCTGGAGTAGCTGCACTACCTGAGCACCTTCTGTGGGCTGCAGATGATCATGATACCACTAGTGGTGAGGGCACTGAAAATATGCAAAACTACCGAAGAATCAACCAGAAAGGATGCAGAGAGGGAAATGGAAATGGTCTGTGGCCACCACCTGCAAAACCATTCCTAAATAGGGGTTGTCTTGGTAATTGCCTCTACTTTCCACCTGTTGTCTGTCCATTTTGCACAACAGCAGGTGAAATTGATTCACAATCAGTATTGTTTCCTAACCGGACAAGTTTATATCCCAGGAGTTTGATTGACTTTGAGTTACACTGTGATGATTATGTGTTCCCTTTATTTTTTTGAGCAGTGGATATTAATAATAATAATAATAGTAATGAAATGTTTCAGGGAGCAATGAACTTTTAATTCTAAGGAATATTCAGACATTTGAATTGGATTGTGAAAAAAAGACTAAAATATTCTTTAAATAAATAAATATAAATTCTTCTCTTATCAGGTCAGTCTATTAAAACTACTTTCCCCTTGTGTTGTGAAAGAAATAATCTGTCCAACAGTTTCTCCCCATGTTTTCAATTTTCACACCAACTGCATGAAAAATCTAGCACAACCTTTTACATGCAGCTTGTGAAAAAAATAGGAATCAAAACCAGAATTTCAACTAAATATCCTGCCATTTAATTCTTATGCAATGCTGTATGTTAGAGACCATCAGTAAGTGAACAGAAACATCTTCCTCCTTATCATTTAACTCTCATTTAACCCTCCACTAATGTCAATGTCCTGTCATGTCTGAATGAAGCTGTACAGAGCATTCATGTAAAAACCACACATGATGGTGTACAAACAAGTTTGTTTCAAGCATACAAACACCTTCAATAAAGGCATCTGCTGAAGAGGGACATAGGAAATATACTATACTGACAGATATTGTTATCAGTTCTCCAGACTACAGTGGTGATAATTTTGTTTGCCCAGTGCTACTGTGTCTTGGTGTTCCTTACTAGAGCTAGCAACATGGACAGGTGACCCATCTTCAGCTCACCCTCCCTCTGTGGCTCCACCACTGAGAAGGAGTACACATCTCCTGATTTGTCCGTCACCAGCAGCTCATCCTCAGCCCTGCTGAACATCAGGGAGGTGCACCTCCTCACCACCCACCTGACACACACACACACACACACACACACACACACACACACACACACACACACCTTGCATCAGTATCAGTAGAGTACATGCAGCTGCTGTGACTGGAGGACAGAGCTTCAGTCATACCTGATGCTGATACACTGCCATGAAGGCTCAGAGCGAAACAGGACCAGCCTCTTTGTGTCATCAGTCAGTGCCACAAGCTTTCCAGATGGAGACACAGTAAAGGCGAGGACTTTGTCACTTCCTCTTTCCTCTGAGGCACTGCCATCACTAATGACAGAGGAGACAAGCCACAGCTGTTAGAATTACAATTCGTACTCCAAGTATACTCAGTCAATGTTTTGGATCTATTCTCATCAGTCTTTTCCTTTACGTATGCAATTTCTTGCACGTCTTTCTTTTTGTTTATTTATGTACCAACAGTGAGGCAGGATTTAATATGCATAAATGCTGCAAAATAAATGTTATAGCTAGGGCTTCACAATATGAGCAAAATATGAGATAACATTGTTGAATATTGCAATTAACTGCATAAATAAACACATTAAAGTGCACTCAGTTTTCCGTTGCTTTCAGTTTTACTGCCAATATACAACAAATTGCTTACTGAATTAAAAAAAAATTGAACAAACTGAACACTGACCTGAACTTGAAAGACAACAATAAATAATGATAGTTACATTTTAAAGTGCTGTTTTCTACTGATAGGCTCTTTCAACTAACTCAGAAAGTCAGAGTGCAATATCACAATCTCTTGCATCACAACGACAATTTAAAAAAAAAAAACAGCTTTTGTGTAGTCCTAGTTAGAATTATTACAGGTTGTCTTCTTTTCAGAACATAAAGACTTTACCAGGGGCTGTATTCACAAAGCTTCCTAGCAAAAGTTGATCCTAGAGATGAAATTCTAAGAAAATTTTTAAAATAATGACGTTTTCTAAGAATTTCCCCTTACAGTTAAGAGTATGTCCTGGTAAAGATAAAAATTACTCACAAAGCATCTTAGACCTTAAGAGAGCTCTTAAGGTGAAGAACTTTTAGGAGTAGGGAGGAACACGTTTATGAGGCTTAAGAGTTTCTTAAGCAGAGGAGAAAATGGTGGAAACACAGAGTTAGGAAAAATATTCTCCGAATGCTGGATGACAGTGAGTAAATTAAATGCTATAAGATTAGATCGTGCAGGAATAATGTTTGTGGCTGATACCATTAACACTATAATGCCAGAAACAAAATGATCTCAACACTAAGATTGGAAAACTGGAAAACTGCAACAGCGCAGCAGTGATGACTTGGGTCGGTTTCCACCATCACTAGTGTCCACACCTTGCAGGCTCATACCTAACAACAGGGTCAACAACACCTCCTCACTAAAGTAAAAGTTTCTCCAAAAATGTTTAGGCTAAGTTAAGAGCTCTCAGAGTATTCTCAGAATGTTTGTGAAAATGGTCCCAGGAGTCTTGTGCCTATTCTTACCTGTTGTTATCGTCCTTTGTATTCTTTGGCTTCTTCTCAGCAGTGCTGCAGTCAAACACAAACGATTCTCTGCAAGAAAGTGCGGAAGAGCTGATGTTTTCAATTTGAATGAGTTTCTGCACAATGCTAGTTTAATTTTGACTTTATATTTTGCACCATTTATCCAGTGTGAGCTCAGTACAGTTTACCTATAGCATCAATAACATGAAAATAAATCACTTGAGGTCCCTGTTGGTGTAGATTTGAGTTCCTGGTTTGAATGACTTTGAAGCAAATAATCTTTTCTTCACTATCCACAAGTGGAAAGTAACCACTTATGATTACTGTTATTACTGTGACTGTGTGGCTTTTTCTTTCACCAATTCGATCTGAAATTCTATTTCCATTAAGCAGATTATTAAGGAGCTATTGTGCTCAGTGTTGCCAGATTAGGCTGTTTTCCACCTAATAACTATAAATAAAAAGAAGTGAAATTGTTCTGGGTGGGTTGTGATCATTGTTTTTGGCTTTTGCACCATTTAGGCAGTTTCCTTTCCTTTCCTCTACACCTATGAGAAGCTTTTGAAAATGAGTACTGATTATTATTCTGTCATAGCTCTGTGATAAATAACATCATGGAGTTCTGTGAGAAAAGGCAGAAAATATATTTACAATATGAAAATTTAAATTTGGGCTACTTTCATGACAATTGGTCATTTATTGAGCAACAATCTTGAACTCTCTCTGGTTCAGTTTCTCAAATGTGAGAATTTTCTTAATTTCTATCAAGGTTTAGTGAATATTTTTGAGCTTTGAACTGTTGTTCTGCAAAATGAGACATCTGAAGACGTTATCTTGAGCTCAGGGAAACTGTGATAGATATTTGTCAATCTTTTGACATTTCAAACACTTAATGATGAACAAATTGATTAAACAATGCAACCTTCCTCAGAGGGAAATCTGAAAGTTAGATAGAAAAAATGTGAAACGCAACACATTTTTTGATAGCAACTATAATGTATCTATGGCACAGAGTATCTAAAAACATTAGAATAGAAAGCCTTTATTGTTGTTGTCCAAAGAATATATAATGTGATTAGCAGTGCTACATCTACTCAGATGCCAACTAGTCATTAAAACAAGCAAGTAAAAAACAGACAACATGATCATTCATAAAATCTGAAATAAATAGTGTAAGAAAATAGGCTGTGTTGTGATGTTGCACGTGTAAAACAAATAGTGGCTTGCACTATTATTACTTAAAAATGATCAGATAACTTATCTTGTTTATCTATTCTCTAATCAGAATCAGGCTGCATTGAACATTTCTTTCATTAACAATTAAATAATTACAAGCAAGGCTTTGTCGGACCAACATTCCCGAATCCAAAGACACTCAATTTTTCATTTTTTTTTTATCTTGTCAATGAGAGAAAAGCAGCACATCCTGGAACCAGAAGCTGGAACCAGTCAGAGTGTGTTTGGTGTCTGAGTGAAAAAATGACTTAAATGCTAAATCAATTATCAATATAGTTGCAGTTTACTTTTCTGCCTATCAACAGATCAATTGATTGAATAATCGTTCAGCACTTACGAAATCATTAATGACTTGTTTCTTGCCAATTTTAGACTATATTATAATTAGACACATTCAAATAAATATTGTGCTGAAAATTTCTAACTGCAGCCCTAAATAGGAGTGTTCAAACCTCCCAAACCATCTGTCAACTTGAAATACTGAAATCTAGACACAGTCATTTGCAGGGGGAAACAGAAGCACTTTTGCTACCCCTTGCAACCAGGGCGTCTACAGGTGTCAGACACTTAAAGTTTTTACTTTTTTAAAACCTTTTCAAGATCATTTTTAACCAAATTTAAGACTGATTTTAGGACACAGTGCCCTTTTCTTATTCAAGCATTGCAGGTAAGTAGTATATCTGTGGTCCTTTTTCTGGGTTGGATTTTTTGTAGGAATAAAATTATTAGAGTGAGTTAGATTAATCTACATTTTGCTAACAGGTAAGTGCTAATATAGAGTAACAAGAAAGTATTAGGTTCAGTGGTAGGTTTTAAGATTTGTAATCAGAAGACTTGACTAATTTTGACAAAAATAAATTCAAAGATGGATAAACAAAGGAATACTTTGCACATCTATTTCCAAACAGATGCATTGGGGAGGGATGAGCAGAACACAACTTGTAGAAAAACTACAAGGAGGGTACTTTGATTATTGTATTGTATATTTTGATATAATTTTTACCCTGTGGCATTTTGGAGGCCTTGATGTATTTTTATATGAAGTTTCCCATTTGTGTATTGATGCTTTTCTCACTTTCCTTGTAAACAAACCCCTACATGTTCATTTTCTAATATAACCTGCAAGATTTGGAAATGTATATTTTTTGAGAGTGCAATTTTAACAACAATTTACTTATGCATTTATTCTTAAGAATTTACCCATCTAATAACATTGTCACCATGCAGTTTTTATTTTAACTTCATTTCTCCGTCTATGTATAATATTGTAGATTGTCACACAAATTGGTGTTTGGTATTTTATGCCATCCCACTGCACGTGGGTAATGTAACTGATTGCAAACTCACATCCACTCCTACTGAAGAGGGCTTCTCTGATAAAATACTATTTGCCTGATGAAAGTGTAGTTACAGAATCATCGCAGCATTAAAATCATTACTTTTGCATGTCAAACACTGTAGGGGAGTTTTTCTACAAAGGATGAACAAAATTAGATAATAATGTTTGTGGCAGTTAAGACCTCATTAATTTGAATTCAATTACTTTTATTAACTTTTAAGGCTTAATGTTAATGAAATTGAACACAAGACATTTTAAGACTTATTACGGATCTGCAGACGCTCTGCTTGAAATTGGCCATGTCAACTTCGTAGGTCAAGACTGCACCAAACATGAGATGATGATGATGATAATGAGATGAAGGCCAAATTGTGTCACGCAGATGCCACAACATCTTCACACACGTTTCCAAACGTATGCGCCCTTTCATAACTCATAAAAAACCGGGAAATGAACCTGGACATTTCTCTCCATGTTGCCCCAGTCTCTCCAAAACTGTGTAGAATGGTGAATGACTGCCAGCAGCTAACAGTGCTGACACCAAACCTGCAGAGATAACCCGCCCCACCGGTAAACAGTATCAATGACATCATGAAGGAAACGTTTAAATTGATTCGAACCTGCTCTGTTTGGTGTGAATGGCGAGGAGTTTCGTATCACAGGTGAAAATAAGCCACTGTCCACAAAAATCCACAGCAGTCATGGCTGCTGTGTGTGTATCATGAGACGGCAGACCACGCGGAGAAGGAGATATTTTGTCGCGCGCAAATTACGTCACAATCTATACAACACACACCCCCTGAAAAAAGAACAGAATGTGCCGAACAAAGGGTTTTATTTATAAAACACATACAATTAGCTCTTCATATTGTACAGAAACAGAGTATACTGGAGTAGAGTGAGTTGTGTCGCTATAGCTGCCATTCATGACGCTAAAACCACATCAATCTATCACATTTACTACGAAAAGTTGGCTATACGAGTAAATGGGCAGACCCCACGTATTTACAGTTCCACACATTCACACATATGTGCTGAATATTAACTACATATAAGATATTCACAGACTGTAACATTAAACAGACAAATTTCTTAACGGACAACACCTGCAGGGATTTTGTCAGGAAGTGGGCGTTCACTGTCGCATTCATTCGTTACGTAAAAGGTGATAAACTTAGACTGATTCACGTCGATGTTGCAGTGAGCAGCTGAAGGACCACTGACCATCAGAAAAGAAGCATCAAATAGCCTTATTTCTGTAAAGGTAACAGCCAATATCGACGTTCATTGAATAACATTCACTTTCAATACATGCTGTTTTTTTATTTCGTTATGACAAGGCTGGATGGTTTGCTGCAATTATTTATTTTTTTATTTATATTTTTTGCGGTTCTGTTTTCTTGCACGATGCTAATACAGTATAACTAACTATAAGTAAAATATTTTTTGACGTCGTTATTATTGTCTTGGTTTATCGTTGTGTATTTATTTCCTCCCACTCCCAGCACAGGCAGGCTGTACGGAAAGATGGCGGCTTCCTTGCTGAGGATAGGACGATTGGGTTGTGTCAAGGTAATATAATGTCTAGGGTTAACGTAAGCACAAGCATAAGCATAAACATAAACGTATTACTTAACTGTCGTGCCATTGTGGGAATTACTCTGTCAGTGTTTTGTGATGGCTTGGACTGAGTTATCAGTTTGTCTGTGTCGTAACGTTACTCGTGGCTGCAGTTAGCTTAACGGAACAACGTCCCTGAAGATAGCATTGAGACCGCTTTAATGTTAAGTGCTTTAAATTTGTGCTTCTTTAAAATGAAAACATAATCTGGTAAACATGTGAATTAGGAAACTTGAAGCACAGACTGTGCCAGTTATTACAGACTGTTAGTAAGCTAACTGCACTCCTCAGCGGAGCAAGCAGGAACACAGGCCGGGCAGCTAAAGCTTCACTGAGGAATTTGACTTTCTGAGCGTAATGAGTGCTGACAAGGGAAATTTTCACAAGAAGCTAGTGAACATTGATCAGTGTAGAGTCACTGAGCACGGTTACATGCGCACAATAATCAGATAACTGGGAATAATCAGGTAATGGTAATAATCCGATTTGACACGTTTACGTGCACTTCAATAATCTGATAATCAGAAAAACCTGGTTTACATGATTCAGTCCTTCAGTTGGATTTCTCCCCAAGTACATGACAAAACTCAAACTTCCTGTTACAGTAGGTACTCATATCCTTGAAAAACCTCGAAAAGTATGCAAGTCATATATTTGCAAAATAAAGCACTCATCATGCTGACAGTTTATATTCTTATAGTACTGTTTGTTTTTATCATTAACAAATACATGTGAGAGCATTCTAATATGTAGTTTATCAATTTTACATACTTTGGGTAGATTCGTAGTAAAAATACTGCAAAGTGCAATATACAAGTGTATTGTATATAAACTTGTCACACAAAGTGCATAACATATAAGTAAGATAAAATAAAAGTGACAATTTAAACACTGAGAATATAAAAATATATTATTTTATGTAAAATCTTTATCTGAAAGGAAACAAAAGCTGTCAGATTAACATAGTGGAGTAGAAAGTACAATATTTCCCTCTAAAATGTATGGAGTGGGAGTATAAAATAGCAAAACCCGAAAGAAACCAGATTAAAGGGTATACATGCACTGAATAATCTGACTATTGGGGAAAAAGATAGATGTGTTTATCTGATTTCTCATAATCAGGTAATGGCTTTTATCTGATAAAGCCTATCGGATTATGCTGTTTACATGACCACTTGAATAATCAGGTAACTCCAGAAATCAGATAATGATCGGTTTATTAGTGTGCATGTAAACGCGCTCACTGATTACACTAGCAATTATTGCTGCATAAACATGGTACTGCAGGTGTTACTGGGAAGAGTCTCTTTGGTGTTAAGACTAGATTTAAAGGGATAGTTACCTCCGCCAAGGAGGTTATGTTTTCGCCGGTGTTGGTCAGTTTGTCTGCAAAATAACTCAAAGTTTTGAACGGATTTTGATGAAATTTTCAGGAAAGGTTGATAATGGGACAAGGAACAGATGATAAAATTTTGGTGGTGATCGGTTGAAGCGAAGTGGATAAAATAATAAAATTAGGGGAAATCCGAGCTGCTTGGCGGAGGTCTGTGCTCTCCGAGTGCTCGAGTTAAGATTTTTGGAAGTGGGGCTGTATGGGATACTTATCTAGAATCACTATATTACAAACAGTAGATGTCCATCAGCACGCTCTTAGTTGAAGCAGGCTGGCTACCAACATGGAGGCTAAGCAATGTACTGCTGTGGAGGGAAGTCAGCACCTAAAATACCCGTATTAGTTTAAGTGTATGCTATATTGAGAGTATTTTCACTGCTTTACCTTTCTGTCAAACAGCCCATTCCAACAGGAAAGCCATAAACAGCTTCAGTTCACCATCTTTGCTCTTGTTAAAACCCTCCAGATTCCATTGATTTAAAAAATGTAATTTTAGGATCTACTGTTGCTTTGATCAGTTAGTTAGTTAGTTAGTTAGTTAGTTAGTCAGTTTGTGTTATTTTGTGAATTTGGTGATTCCAAGCTAACTCTTTTAAATGCCAAAGTCAGACAATAAGACAAATAACATCAGTTTTCTCAATGGACTCTGGCTTTGAAGAGAGCAATATAATGGCTTCAATTTCACAATGGAAATCACTGTCTGACATTACAGTAGTATTCTGAATATAGTGTACTGATACAGATTTTTTTTTTTTAAGTGGCTAAAATATGACTTGTTGCTGTCCCCTCCCCAGCTGTGCATTTCTTAGCTTGCTAGGTGCAGGTAAATGTTAAAAGCCAGAAAACCAAGCCCAGCCCAGTAGTCACTGTGTATTTGTATTGATCAACAACCGCTTCAGTCCTGAAGACTTAATTTGTGCATTTTGAAAATACTCAAGTCACTGCTCCTTTTCAGTGTTGGAAAATGCTGAGTGTAATGTCATGCATGTGTGTGTGGTTTGTCAGTGTTTACAGGCTGAGAGCTGGAGCATTCTGAGAAGAGCACCTGCAGCTGTAGCCCTCAGCACAAAATCCGGGGGATCCAAGAAGTCTACAAAAAAGAACAATTTGGGTAGGTTTCAGAGAGTCACTGCGATTGTCACAACCAGTGGCTGAGCCTTTATCAGCTCTTGAATGAAGATTGATCTGTTCAAGGAAGACACATATCAGGTTTCAGTGTAGGTGAAACCTGCACTTTGAAGTTATTTTCCACAACAGTAGTCTCCAAAAACCTCAGACTTTGAGGGTCTGCACATTACTGTTATTTGCTACTGTAACATTGCTGTTTGTTTTTACACCATTTTGTGTTTGTTTGGATGAATTGTGTACAGTATGTTTCAGCCAAAGACATAAACTTATGAAAAGTATCTAGTGCCATTAAACTTCCTATGGTATCTGTTTATCTGCCCCCTACTGTCTACAGCTGATCCGTCTCCTGTGTACACTGCTCCATTGTGTAGTCTGTCTGCAATTTCTCACTAGAATAAGGACACAACGTTACAGACATAAAGCAGCCCTAAGTCCTAACTGGTCTGCAGTTCTTGTTGCTGTTGTTGTTATTCAGATTTCATTTGAGGTCTGGTTTATCTTTCTACCTGCCTGGCATTATAGAGTCTTAACAGTTCCTTAAAACTGGCTTAACCTTTTGAACGTGATTGATGCAGTTAGCACAATTTCTTCTCAGAGTCGTAAGTCAGTCAAATCTCAATGCACAGATGTCTACACATACTGCTGAAATTGGTATTACTTACTCTTTCAGATGAAAGTGGTATAACTATGTCCACCAGGGACAAACATTTATAAATCTGCTTGAAAATCATGTGAAATTATATGCTTAATATACCTTTTTAGATCAGCCTCATAACCATAAAATTTAATTTTTTATTTAAAAAAAAAAAAAAATTATATACTTTATTAATCCTTCTGAGGGGAAATTAAATTTTTTCACTCTTTTTGTCATTAACACACAGGTGCGAAAGACACACACATGCACAAACAGGACCCATGCATGCACACACAGCAAGTGGAGAGATGTCAGAGTGAGGGGGCTCTCCACTTGCTGAATGAGCTTGTGCATGAATGGGTCCTGTTTGTGCTTGGCAGTGCCCAGGAGGTGAACTGGCACCATGCTACATATTTGGTCTGGACGGGGACTTGACAGGCGACCCAAGTCCCTATGGACTGAGCTACTGAATTGGGGAAAATTAATGTCAAGTTATAATTAATAATAAGGAATATTATATCATTAATAAATATTATTATAATTTATATAATTATAATAACAAAGCAGATCTATATAGCAAATGTGATAGATCTTCACAGCTGCAGATAACCTACGTTTTGATCAGACATCACTCAATACAGTGTTACAGCTGACCAGGCTTAAGAGTGATGTTTGAAAGTATTTCAACAACAACAAAAATGAATGGACAATGTTCACGCTTCGTACCATAGCTCATCTCTACAGTCTTAAGGCCTTTGCACACTGAGTCCATTTTTTTTTTGTTTGCAGTCATGTTTGCACAAAACTTTTGTCTGTCATTAAAATATTCATAACAGAAGTCTGTTGGAGGAGAGTCAACTGGAAGTCCATTCATTCCTATTTGAATCCATAAGGGACAATTTTATTTTTCAATATGGGACAGGTGGCAACTCTATCATCTATATTTCTCGGTGTGGCGCTGTCACATGACTTATCCTCAGTTTTGTAACCCTTACTTTTATCCAGACCTCTGCAGAAAAAAGGCAGCTGCACTTAAAAGTTTTTTTCCTGGGGAAAAAATAGCTTGTAACTTTGTGGACACTGCCAGGCTAAAAGTGCTAAAACTTGAGGCACAGTTGATGCAATATAAAGGTAATGTACCAAGCATATATTCCAAACTACTTGATGGCGAAAAACACACAAAATTACCCTCTCCCCCATGGCTACAGGTAGTTTCTATCAGGTTTCCATCCGTCTCTTCCTTAAGTTGGATACTGGAGGCGTCATACGCATATTTATGAATCAGTGGACACCAGTCACATGCGTAAGTGAAAATCAGTAGTTTGACCAAGAAGCAGTGAATAAAATTGGGGCTCACAGAATAATGCCAATAACTCAAATGCCAAACCGGAATGCAAGACACAGGAAGTGAGTGGTTACAGCTACATAGGTAACTCCAGTGGAGAGAGACATTTTGTCACGTTTTGCAATTTTTTGCAATGAATTAAATGATAAAAGGCATGGGAATCAGTGTGCAAGGGTCCGTGCGTAACATTTTTTTTCAGGATTTAAAAAATGCATCCAAAACAAAGACTAGGTATGCAAAGGCCTTTAGAGTCTGTGCAGTGCAGAAAGGTAGGCTAACCCTAACCTCACCCACATTTTTGCTTGACTGTTCATTTCCTATCCTGTTCTTACAAAAGGGTTTGTTTTGTTTTGTTTTGTTCATTTGCGAGTACCTGGTGCTTGATAATAATGTAATGCAAGAACTTGAATATGGAAATTACCTAAAAAATGCTCATCACTAGTAGTGACATTGCCAAAGCTTAAAAGTACAGAAAGGCTTTGGACACTATATACATTAGAGAGCCATGAAAGAATTGAATTATTTAGTTGGAAAGCCAACATTGATTTGTTAAAACAATGGAGATGTGTTTTTCCTCTGCTGTCATCTGACTGTATGACTGCATTTCTTAAGAGTTTTCGAGGTTAGACCCAGGAATTCTCTACTACATGAAGTAGCCTAATTCTAAGTAAGTGGTAGCTGGTAATATTATGCAGAAACAATGTAGCAGAAAACAGCATTGTCCAGTACAAAGGTAGGTTTTAGCTTTTGACAGCGTTTGACATTATATTGTTTGGTGCACTGCTGTAGAGAATGTCACAGGAAAGGTCAGGAGTGGGATTCCAACCCATGTGACTCATGTCATGGTAAAAACACATAACATGCAGCAGCTGTCATGGCCGCAGGCAGAGACGGCAGTGGTGTGTTTTTAAATAAAAAAAAAAAACAAAATAAAAAAGCCTAAGCCTATTTAACCTGTTGCTGCTAGAATGAGCTGCTTTTGCTAGGATTTGGCATTTATGGCAGGTTTGTGTCCATGTGTTTTTCTTTGTGTGTGTGTGTGTGTGTGTGTGTGTGTGTGTGTGTGTGCGTGCGTGCGTGTGTGCTGGGGTTATGAGGTGGACAACATTGCTGTTGGATTACTGATGAATAAAATTGTACTTTCAGGTCAGTCTCTATTTTGATGAACAAATAAACCACCTCTAGACTGTCTCAGTTGTCTTTAAGTATGTTTTTATCTAGTCCTTTTGCCAGGGAGTAAACAGTACATGTACAAAACTAAGTATAATGTCAAACTGACCAACAATCCTTCCAACAGCCTAGTTATACCCAAGAACCCAAGGTCACAGGGGCTTGACTCTTCTTTGCTATCTAAACTATAGAATCTCTATCCAGCATATTGTAAGGAATTGAGACACACCAATGTCTTTATCATTTTCACCTCCTGGCTTTCCTTCTACAGGTTTTAAAAAAATACTTGACCTACTAACTATCCCATCAGCTGACCAGTGTTAATACATTTAGGTCCTTTTGATTACAACACAGAACATTTATCGCAGTATAAAGCTGTTGTGGTCAATACCACAGTTGTCATTCTTTTCTGTTATGAGTTTTCTTGAAGCTTTTCTATAATACATTTGCTGTATCCCTTTGGCTAACTCACAGGCACGTAATTTATTTATTTCATTTTTTGTTAAAGGTCTTTAATTACGTGTGTGTGTGTGTGTGTGTGTGTGTGTGTGTGTGTGTGTGTGTTTAAAAAAAAAAAAAAACTTTCAGTCTTTTTCTGTGTAAAATGTTGGGATTTTGTTAAATGTGGGTTTACAATGGACATTTTGTCATTCAGCCATATACATATGTTAAAATAAATAATGCATTTTGTCTGCTTGCCCTCCTTCTTTGTCCTAGACAAAGACCAGGTTAAAACATACTTCAATGTAGAAAAACATGTCCAGCACAAGTCATATGAGTTTCCCAAGAAAGGAGTTTCTACAGCAGCAGAAGCTGCAGCCACACCAGCTGCAGAGCCTACACCCTCTGCTGCTGCACCTGAGTCTGCTGCAACCACCCCTGTGGTAGAAGCTGCTGCCCCAGCAGCTGAAGCCACACCTATGGTTGAAGCAGTCATAGAAGCTCCACCCGTTGTTGAGGCTGTTGCTGAAGCTGTGGTTGAAGCTGTTGCGGAAGCTGCACCTATAGTTGAGGCTGTCGCTGAAGCAGTTGCTGAAGCTGCACCAGTGGTTGAAGCTGTGGCTGAAGTGGTTGCTGAAGCTGCACCAGCGGTTGAAGCTGTGGCTGAAGTGGTTGCCGAAGCCGTACCAGTGGTTGAAGTTGTTGATGAAGCTGCAGCATCTGTAGTTGAAGCTGCTGCTCCAGCACCTGAAGCTCCTGTTGAAGCTGCTGCCCCTGCAGCTGAAACTGCTGCCCCAGTTGGTGAAGCTCCTGTTGAAGCTGCTGCAGCACCAGAAGCTGCAGCTGAAGCCCCTGCTGTTGATGATGCACCAGCCCCTGAAGCTGCTTTAGCAGAACCTTTTGTTGAGGCAGCCCCTGAAGCCACAGCTGCAGAGGCTGCATCTGCTGCTGAAGTTCCTGTCGAAGCAGCCCCCGAATCCCCTGCTGTAGAAGCTGCACCTGAAGTTGTCCCTGTAGAAGCTGCTGCAGAGCCTGTGGCTGAAGCTGCCCCAGAGCCTGCAGCTGCTGAAGCTGTCCCAGTAGAAGTGGCCCCAGAACCTGGAGCTGCCCCTGTAGAAGTTACTGCAGAGCCTGTAGAAGTTGAAGCTGAACCTGTAGAAGCTGCTGCAGAGCCTGTAGAAGCTGAAGCAACAGCTGAAGTTTTTGCCCCTGTGGAGAGCCCCGAGAAGCTGGTGTTCCCTGCTCCAGTTGTAGCTGCAGCTGCAGGAGAGGAGCTGCAGGCGGACGCCCCAGCTGAGCCAGTTGAACCGTTTGAGGGTACACACTACAACACCCCCCTCCCCCACAATCCTTCTCTTTTCCTCTGTGGACCCTGCAGTCTACCAGCAGTCATTTTTATCGCCATTTATATGAGTATACAGTAGTCGTTTGTGATGAGTGTAAGGATAAATTGTAAAGATACCTAACATCACAGACACACTTTTTGCTGTACACTTGCACAGGTTGTTTCTAATAGTCCCTTGTGTTACTTGATCCATTTTAGCTTACAATATCTTCCCTTCTTCATGACATATCCACCAAGCCATGTTACAGCCCTATCCTGCCCCTGCTGGGTCATCTTTCATGTAGCTGTAGTTGAACTCATTGTCCAATGCGTTTGTGCTGCTTTAGTCATCTTGCATATGATGCATGTCTTAACTGCACAGATGTTTCCCTTTTGGTGTGGTTTATTTCCAAACACCTTTTTTCTACTTCTTTTATTTCCCTCAAGTTTTTTTGTTTTTTACTTACCAATGTCTGCCTGCTTACTGCACTCATTTCTTTTGTTTTCAAGAATATCTTTCCACCTTCCTGCATAAGTCACTATTCTGTTCTTCCCACTTTTTTAGTCACTGCTTTTTTTGTTCTAATCCAAGTTACAGATTGTTTGGCTTCAAGAACCCCAGTCTTCTTTCCTAAGATGTTTCAACATGATAGGAAAATAATTCTCAGCACTGTCAATCTTCCAGTTTTGTGTCAAAGTTTTTATAGTACTGTTCTACTTGATTTTGTATTGGGGACTGTTAAACTAAAGATAATGTTAAAGGTACTCTTTCCATTGGTGAAGGAGAAGGTTGCAGCGGTAACCTGATTTTTTATTTTTATTTTTTATATCCTAAACTTTTTTGTTCCTCTTCCTCTGTCCCTCACACTTCTCATACTTGGTCGGATGGTAAAAGTAATATGTAATCAATCCCTACATGTGTAATCCTATTGGTGTATTTTGTAATGGATAATGTGTAAATGTAACTTTTCTGTCATGGTAAAAGTATCTGGTGAGATTGCACCCTGGTTGCTGTGTATGGAGTCAGAGTTGAAGATTTTGAATTTGTTGTTTGGACTTCACTGTTAGATGTCTTGTTGGATTAGACTCTAGGCAACCTATACCTTACATCAGGTCTCTAAGTGTGTAGCTTAGCATGACCTATCACAGCAACCTTTAACCCGTCTACTGACCTGACCTTTCACACGTTCTTTCCTATCTGACTCCTGTAGCTCTCTACTCTGTCCACCACTCCCAGGTGCTGTTATGTGCATGAGGGTTACGGTTAAAACTGGATTGGTTGTTACTTATTTGTTCTAGCCAAATGGGCAGATGATATCCAAAAGCATGATTCTGGTTTGAGTATTTTTATGTGAAGAGAAACTCATTTTAGTGTTTTTTTTTTTTTTGTTTTGTTTTTTTTCTCCTTGTGACTCTCAGCTCAAATGGACCCAATTCAGAAGCTCTTCTTGGACTCCATACGCGAGTACTCCACAAAAAGCCAGTAAGTCTCATTACCTCAACCAAGCAGGTCAGAATTTCATCCCTGTTTGTTTTTTAGTTCTCTCAACTTCATGGGGCTGTGACTCTGTCATTGACTTAACTGGGCTTAGAGTAGGTTCAGCAAACCCTGCTGCAGCAGAGCTGTAAACGTGCTAAATTACTAAAATGTTCCATGCAAGTTACCTTATTAAGGTTTGTCTCGCACAGTGATTAAAATGAAGGTTGGTAATCATTCATGTTCAGCATTTGAAAGTTATTAAGGGAACAGGCTTCAGCTGTCAGATTTTCAGGTAGCGCCCCTCACCTTGGGCTTTTGATCGGCAGCTGAGGATGTGCTCCAGGGTCCATCTCTAGTGACTCCATCTTCCCCCAGCAAAACAAGGTGGATGGGCTTGGTAAAATGACATGGATAGCGTGGATTAATTTTATTCAGTGGGGCTCAGCTTTCCAGTACTGTGCCCATGAGACTTTGCACTCCATGTTCCTATCTTGTCCAGGCTCCCTGCTGCCCAATTCCAAACATCCTGCTGTCTTGGTCCTTGACTGATGCTCGCTCCTCATCCTGAATTGGCACCTTTGTGTCCTTTGCCTGCACCTTGTTGTAGCGAGGTGTTGGGCTGCTACCCAGGCCAGCCCTTCAATGAGACACTGCACCAGCACCCCATGTTTTAGTTGTGACTTCGCAACCTCCACGGCCTCTGCTGCACTTCACCTCTGTCCTGTCCTGACCTCAAGAGGATTAGAATATATGCAGTTCACATAACCCGGTCGAAATTAATATTTATAAACGCTTGATGATCCACTCATTACTAAAAGTGTATGTCATATAAAAACTAAAGTAATGGTCAAAGTTGTCACAGTGTGTTGATTGACTCACGCCCTCAGCTCATGCATTGCGTAACATAACAAATAAATGTTCCACCTTAAAAGTTGCCGGCAGTCGGCTTAGTGAATGAAGCTTTTTTTTTTCTCCGACTACAGCTGCTGCAAGAGGCAGCAAAACATCCTTTCATTTTATAGTTAAAGTCTACTAATAAACTCTTCACAATATGAATAGTGGTTACATGAGCCTAAAAACCAGCCACAACTCGGCCCTGTGCAGAGTGACCATCCGCTATTGACCAATCAACGGACTGAAGTGTTCGCAGCTCCACCTTTTTTAGTAACAGATGTGTGTGCTAGGTACCCCAATAGAAGGGGTACCAAAAATGGGGACGGTACGAAACAGTTCCATTGGTACCATCCACAGCGTTTCACAGTGGAAACGGAAAAGCCACGTACCGAACTGAACTGTACCGTACCACACCGCTCTGTGGAAACTGGGCTATAAAGGCCTTGACAGGCAGCTGAATGTATTGGTGGTAGGCCCTCTGCACTGAACCTCAGCAGACTTCACCAGCATGTTCATGGTCAACGTGAAAAGCTTTGCTTGAGCTTGTGCCACTCTGACGTCGTAGACCTAACAGAAGCCCCTTTTACACTGCCAGATTTTCCGCAAATGTTGGGACATTTTGCCAGCAAGCTGAGAACTTTTAGACACACAGAGCCAGATTGGCGAGTTGATCCGACGTGCCCAATTTTCCACCTTGTAGGGTAGTTATATTGGTAGAACACTTTTAGTTTAAAAAGACCGAGGAAGACCTTTGGGAGGAGCTGTTGATGACGCCGCACCTGCGAGCCACTGTCTTCAATAGCCCCTCCGATTGCGGAAGGCCGCCTCGGTCTGTTTAAACTAAAACAGTTTTGCACAATTCCTAACTAAAAGGGCTAGAGATTTTCAGACTGAAGCTGTTGTACTAGTCCGAAACGGGGTCCCTAAACTCACCAACAATATGGTGCTGGTTCAGTGCCTCTTCAACCAGCTTGTGGGGTATGGACCCACAGGCACTTGCAAGGTCCAGCCACAACACCAACAGGTCCCCTTGTTCCAGGCTTCTCTTGTCAGCTGGGAGACCTTGCCTGTGTGCCCCAGACAGCCCAGTACCTTCAGGATACCTCCTTTCTGGACCGAGGTATCAATGTAGGAGTTCCTCAGGAGTTAGTCTGACAGGGGCCTTGCAACAGCGCTTAAGAAAATCTATCCCTCAGCACTGAGCAGTGAGATGGTTCTGAACTGATCAAGGCTTTTCAACTCTTCCTTCTTTTGAATCCACACCATTTCCATGTCCCTCCACTGATGACCTACCTAGCCCGGCCTCCAGATCCCCTTAAGAATCCTCCAGTGCCTGTAAAGAAACCTTGGGCAATTCTTGTATACACTGTAAGGTACCCCACTTGGTCCTGGGGCTGAGCTTGTTCTTGTATCCTTGACCACCTTTTGGACTTCCTTCCAGCCAGGCTCTTCCTTGTTGAAGTCCAGAGTTGGTGCTGGTGGGTTAATCAAGGACTTACAGTGACCCAGATCTTGCTTCCTGGATTCATTGCTGAAGGTGTCCCTGAGCTTGATCACAGTTTTGGAGCAGGTGAGTGGCCAGCTGCGCCTTTGCCCTAACAGCTGTTTTGTAAATCCAAAAGAGTTAATTAGAAAGGCTGTTCACCTCCTGACCCTCTCCTTCCACCGGCTCATATGCTACTCAGCCCACCTCAAGGTTGCCAGCTCTTACTAGAGAATACTGTCCTGTGAAGTGTTCCGTCACCTCCTCCATTGCCTCCTTGAACCACAGCCTCTAGCTCTTCAGTTCCTGCATAAGTTGGTGGATCTCACTCACTCTGTTGTTCATGGTGTAGGGGAGTTTTGCTGCTCTCTTCTCCAGTCCAAACCTCTCATCTGCTAGGCTGAAATTGATGGTGGTCATTGTCTTGCTCAGCGTCACCCTTGGCAGTTGCATCCAAGATGAAATCGGCATTGTCATCAAACTGCAGCCACTCCTTCTCCTTGTCCACTTGATCCAACAGTGTTTTGTTGTTCTGCTGTTATGTCACCAGGAGGTTTCGGGCACTGTGGGGTGACTTTGGGCCTGGCTCCTCCTGTGTCACACCAGGGGAAGTTCCTGAGCATTGTGACACTTGCACAGTCTGCACAAGTCATCTTGGCCTGGTAATCTTGAGGCCATTTGGGCTCTTACCTCAATTGCATCCCATACTAGTTTTGCATTTCCATTGCCATGTGTCCATCTAGATGGGATTCTCAAGATACCATGGGCTTTGATACACACTTTCCAAAGCCCAAATTGAAATTTAGTCTTTTAAAGGATAGATTAAAGTATCTGAGCCCAGTTTGTGCTACAGGATTTTAGTCTGGAAAACATGAGAAATGATGGATGATGACACAAGATGTCCCTTTACACAATTACTGAAACTTGTAAACAACTACTTCAACTACTAAACTAAAATAAATGAAGAGTGATTCTGCATTTGCCTTATGTGTGTTCCATCAAAGTTATTTAAAAAATCTGAAATGTGCTGATTTGTACTGATTAGGGATGTCAATTTTGGTTCATTTTGCTTTCAATTGCCTGACAATCATTAACTGGTAACTATGGGTGTGACATATCATCTTGTTCATGATGATAATAAATGAAAATAAATAATTTCTTAATATATGAAAAATTCATATCGTGATACTTGTGATATTTCGGCTTATTGACATCATACTGTTACCCACGGCAACAACAAGCATGGCCAAAAGTGTAATTATTATAATTACTCCACGGTGGTTCCAAATAGAGGAGAAGCTCCAGTAGTGTGGAATAAACTGTAGCGTTGTTAGGCCTGGGCATCCTTAATGTTTTTTAAACAGCCCCGGACTTGTCAGACTCTTTTAGCGAGTTACCGAAAGTTTCCCTCCCTGCAGAGGGAACAGCGACTCCACCGGCAGTAGCACAGCATCTCTCCCTCTCTTCTCTGGCCATACGCACGGTACTTGGTGTTGTAATGTAAACCTATGTGATGCTTGCGCCTCGAGAAAAAATTCCAGCCATCCGTCCAGCCATCCATCCAAAAAGTGAAACTCATATTAAATACATTCATTACACACAGACTGATATATTTCAAGTGTTTATTTCTTTTAATTTTGATGATTATAGCTGACCGATAATGGAAACCCAAAATTCAGTATCAGAATATTAGAATATTGTGGAAAAAGTTCAGCTGATACATGATATTGATCTTTGCCCTCCTCCTGTAGGGCTACTGGGGGGCTAGTCGATGCAGGTTCAGAGTATGAAAAGGCCTTGGCTGAGGAGGTAGCAAAACTTCAGAGACTCTATGGTGGTGGAGACCTCACATCTTTTCCAGAGTTCAAATTCACAGGTGAGTCAACTATTGGTCAACCATTACAACTTGTAGCTGTGTTGTGAACCGCAATACTCTGATTGTTGATTTTTTTCATGCTGAAATTGCAAAAACTTAATGTATTTTATGATAAATGTTTGCCTATATCTGCAAGGTCTTTGTTTTCAGTTATGTTTGTGATGTGTCAGCAGCAGGGCCACAGCTTGTTTATTCTTTTCTGCATTTTAAAGTCATAAGAGCAACTCAGATCAATGTCACAAACTAAGGATGTGCTACTGCTCTCAAATACTTTTTTCTATTGACATTTTAGTGCTGAGATTAACCTCATATTCATCACATAATCTGACATCACTCCCGTTGATACTGCAGGGTCTGACACAAATGGCAACCAAAATTTTATTAGACCCATCTCACACAGTGCAGGGTTCAGTGTTCATGTTTGTTATCACTCACCCGACTGGGCAAGTGGGTCAGAAATCTACTGCCCAAAATCAATTTTTACTTGCCCCTATACAAATTGTTTTATTTATTAGTGGTTATTAAATAACAACAAAGACTAAAGACTAAACGACACTTGTTATGGCACTCCCACTTTGTTTTTTCATAAACTTGACAAACAACCCTAATTTATCCGCCTTGTTTTCAAGCTTGCGGCAAACTGCACAACACATAGTTGGAGTTTTACCCACATCATCTAATGCCTCCCAACTAACCTCCTGTTTTGAGGATAATTGAAAACTCACTTTCGTTTAAGCTCATTAACTTTGTCTTTACTCGCCACCATGTCTTCACAAGTGCCCGATTGGTGTGCATGTGCAACTCATAATAGAGATACAATAAAGTGAGATGGCTCCCTCCTTAGCTACTTCCACTATCAGCTCTAGAAAGAACAATGTGTTAAATTATTTTTTTATTATTGTTTTTTACCATTTGCCCGGTTGGGCAAGTGAGTTGCTAGATATCAGGGTTTCCCACATATTCATTTATTTGTGGCAGCCCACCATGATTAAAATATCTACAGCCACAATTCAGTTTTCTACTTTTGGAGCTGGACCGTTCATTAGAAGTGCTGTTGAAATATATAAACCGTTCGGTTAGTCATTCCATCAACATTCTTGGTCCTCTGGTGCTCTTGTCACAGCAGAAAGTGAAAGTGAAACTTAAGCATACATTGCGTTCGGTCAAACGTTTGCTTTCATTCACAAACAGCTGGTACATCCATGATGAGAGGATGATCAGTTTTCCACCCTGTGAGTCAAAACTCCACAAACTGCTGCTGAAGGGGAAAAAAAGAAGAGCTCCACCTGTGCTGCATTCATGTACCCTTGAAAACCACTGAATTTAGCAAGAGCACTTGGACTGAAACACAAGGACACGCAGGGTGTTTTTCAAAGTCAAGCATTCTTCCTTAGGAGGATGAGTCCTCCCAAGGAAGGATCCTCCAAAGGCAAGGCAAGAACCCCTCCTAGCATTCAGTGAACACACATTGGAACAGGCTAACACGTGTCGTGTCCCCAGGTGTGCGTAATTAAACCTCAGCAGACTGAGGGGGTTTCAGGGTACTGAGATAATTTTGTCACTCATTGTACAATTTTAAACAAATGTATCAGTATTTTTAGTTACGCAACTTATGGGGAGAATATATTTCTGAATCATACTGAGTAAGTGGAGTAATGAAGTAAAGACAACAGCTGAAAAAAGATCTAAATGATCATTTACAGTATACAAGTATACGCAGACTCACACAGAATCACTCTGTGATTCTAAAGTGTTCCATATTTTATGTGTGTATCATCTCACACTCCGCTACAATAATATGAACAGCATATCTAATCTGATGAGTCGCACTGCTCAGAAACAGCTGACTGCGCTGATTGTACATGATACCGCTGTGTAATCTTCTGAAATATGTTCACCTGAAAACAAATGATGGATGCTTTGACCTGCAGGATATACCAATGTCTTTACTGTGGCTGTTCTCACCACGATTCCCCCGAAAAATACACCAATTGAAGCTGACAGAATGAAAGCAATTATCATGGCGTTATCATGTGAATAGTGGGGGGAGGTAATCACCTAGCACTCCATCTCTGCTGTAAATGATTAATTTAAAAACTTTGTTTTATCTAAATCACGTTATTTTAAAAAATCTTATAATTTGGCAGTGGACACATTGGAAAGTATAAATTCTGAGGTTTCTGTCAACATGTTTTTTCATGCTTGTAAAATAAAAATGTCATTTATTTGGATTAATGTCTCCAGGAGTTTTTATCAAAGTACTGCTGGCGCAAGTTTCATTGAAGAGGTCCCGCCTTCACCTCTAGCAAATTGTGTGCAAAGCATTATGGGGATTTTTTACCTGCTGAGGATACGCACATGCATCCTTGGAATTTCTCTGAAAGAAGGACTCAGTCCTTCGGAAGGATCCTTGACATTGGATCAGTCCATTGACAGGGTTCGATGACATAGCCCCCTTGAAATTCGGCCATTTTAGGATCCTTCCTTGAATTTGAGGAACACCTACTGGCAAGGAAAAAAATACGCAAAGTTAGTGGGATCAGCAAACCAACACACAAAGATTCTAATAATGTGGGATATACTAGATATACTAATATGGATATACTAATCTGACAAGGCTAAACGGTAAGGATTGCTCAATGGCCTGGGAGGCCATTGAGCAATCCTTACAGTTTAGCCTTGTAACATTTTTGTTGCACAGTCTAAATGTTAGCTTGGTCTGTGTCTTGATTTGTCCAGTAATTTGTGTTTTGAACAGCTCCTACCTACTGTCATTTATTGTGGATATAGAGGTTTAATCTTAGTATTTTTAGTGATGCCTGATGAAATTTGAGTACATAATCAAACATACACTGAGCTAATGTCTGTGCTTTGTTTTTCAGAGCCAAAGTTTGATGAAGTTTCCCAGAAGTGAACATCAGCACTTTGTAATTGAATTTTTCTAATGTCGCCTTTTTCCTGTACATCTTTGTGTTGACAGACTGCTCAGTGTCAAGAGTTACAAAAAGCCATTGCTTCTGGCTTTGTATTTGAGAATAAAGCTGTTTCAGTAGCTATATATTTTATGGGAATGGGCCAGAAGCATCAGATGTACATTTTTGGCAGACAATGAACTCAGAGCTGTAAAATAAGCTTTGTTTAGATTGATCCATGGCTCAGCTGAATGTGAATAAAAACAAGATATTCCAGTTAACATTGCTGTATGCACATCTCTTTCTGCTGCTGTCAGGGAACGTGGGACATTGTCATTTTATATTCCTCAGAGAAATGGTCCATATTGACATGATGGCATCACACATTTGCTGCAGATTTGTAGGCTGCACATCCGTGATGCCAATCTCCCGTTCTACCATATCCCAAAGGTGCTCTATTGGATTGAGATCTGGTGACTGTGGAGGCCATTGGATTACAGTGAACTCATTGTCATGTTCAAAAAACCAGTTTGAGGTGATTTGAACTTTGTGACATGGTGCATTATCCTGCTGGAAGTAGCCATCAGAAGATGGGTACACTGTGGTCATAAAGGGATGAACACAGTCAGCAACAATACTCAGGCTGTGGAGTTAAAACAATGCTCAGTTGGAACTAAAGGGCCCAAAGTGTGCCAAGATAATATCCCCCATACCATTATACCACCACCTTCAGCCTGAACTGTTGATACAAAGTCAATGCTTTCATGTTGTTTATGCCAGATTCTGACCCCACCATCTGATTGGGCAGCAGAAATTGAGACTTATCAAACCAGGCAACGTTTTTCCAGTCATCTATTGTCCTGTTTAGGTGAGCCTGTGCCCACTGTAGCCTCAGTCTCCTGTTCTTAGCTGACCAGAGTGAAACCCACTGTGGTTTTCTGCTGCCGTAGTCCATCCACTTCAAGGTTCCACATATTTTCTCTTCAAAGATGCTCCTCCGCAGAGCATTGTTGTAACATCTGGTTATTTGAATTGTTGTTGCATTCCTGTCAACTTAATCCAGTTTGGCCGTTCTCATCTGACCCTTTGCCATCATCATGTCAACAAGGCATTTTTGCTGCCTACTGAGTTTTTTCTCTGTTTTTGTACCATTCCCTGTAAACCCTAAAGATGGCTGTGCTAAGAAATCCCAGAAGATCAGCAGGTTCTGAGGTACTCAAACTAGCACCAACAACCATGCCATGTTTAAAGTCACTTCAAGTAATACTTCACCTGCAAACTGACCATGTGTATATCAATTACTCACCCCTGTTCCCTTGAATTTATGAAGGAACTTTTTCTTGCATGCCTCCAAGTGAATGGAGAATCCAAAAAAGGCGAACGTTCTTTCCAAATTTAAGTAATTGGGGGCTGCGTTTAAAGCAAAGTTATCAAAACGTGTTCACAAACTGTCACACAACACATGAAGTATAATGCAAGTCCTATTTATCAACCCGTATGCTCAGTCATTCCCAAACACATGCATTTTAGCTAAAATGTTAACAATATCAAACACTTACACCCACGAGGTGAGTGAGTAAGTGAGTGAGTGAAGACTTCAGATGCATCCGAGTTCGAACCGCGCATCAGATTCCCCCACTCTGATGCGCGGTTAGAACTTGGTCTTGGCCATGTTTAAATGTCCGAACGCATTGAGTTGCTGCCACGTGATTGGCTGAGCCTATGGCTTTAATGAGCAGTGGGACTGTTCTGACTGTTCTGAATGCAGCCCTGCGTTCAGCCATGCAAAAATCAGCAAAAGGTGTATTTAAAGAGAAACAGTCGTGTGTTTAACACTATACTGAGCTTGTTGGGGATGAGCCAGGCCTGCACAGGTTCGATCACCGGTGATTGCTGCACAATGCATGCCGGATTTGTGTCTGACTTAATCCCAACTAGCTCTGATGTCATGGAAGTGGACAACAATATTTTCCTGAGCTAGAGGCAGCTGCAGTTGCTCTAGTTCACCTCGGAACACGCAAGACCCAGGGCATGATGTGAAATGAGTGGCTCTTACCTGATTTAACAGCTGATTGGTTTAGATGCTGACACATTAGTATGACTTTTTATATTTTCATTTTTGTTGAATTGGGGAGATTTCAATCTGGAAATCCATAGGTTAAAAATAAATAAATAAAAATATTTTTTTTTTCTTCCTTTACCTCGGGAGGCATAGCCCGGAGTTGTTCGACTAACGGAAGTGCAGGGGCCTCAGCGATTGCTCACGCCCTTCACTTCCGGCGGTGCCCCCAGGGAATCGCCGTGTTGTTTACAAATACTTCGGGTAGAAGACCAGCAGAGTTTAGCTATATATCACATTTTTCACGTCACTATATCACCATGTAGACTAATCTGATGTTTGTTAAATCTATAAACTCAATGATTGAACAAACAAGATCTCTCTATTCTTGGCAGGATCTTATTGACAAAAGCAGAAGGCATATCAAAACTAGTATATCCTTGTCAATCTCTATATGTTCCTCCTCAAATAATTAAAAAGGTGAATTCCGTCATTTTTAATTTCATATGGAAAAATAAGACCCACTACCTCAAAGGTCAGGGTACCTTCAGGCAGTTCGTTTTTTCATTTTAAACCAAAAACGAAAAAACGGAAATACCGTGGTTTTCCCGTTTTTCTTTTTTTGGTTTAAAACGAAAAAACAAGAAAATGGAGCTGTTTTTCCGTTTTTGTTGTCAGAATTAAAAAACGAAGAATGACAAAACCAAATTCAAATAACAGCCCGATTTTGTGTTTATTGCAGATTCATTTTTTCATTTATTGTTTTGGACAAAAAGTAGAACGCATAGATATATACATAGATGCTGCACCCTGGCTTGTGGGATGCGTCAATCAATCAATTTTATTTATAAAGCCCAATATCACAAATCACAATTTGCCTCACAGGGCTTTACAGCATACGACATCCCTCTGTCCTTTGGACCCTCACAGCGGATAAGGAAAAACTCCCCCAAAAAAAACCCTTTAACGGAGAAAAAAACGGTAGAAACCTCAGGAAGAGCAACTGAGGAGGGATCCCTCTTCCAGGACGGACAGACGTGCAACAGATGTTGTACAGAACAGATCAGCATAATAAATTAACAGTAATCCGTATGACACAATGAGACAGAAAAAGAGACAGAGAGAGAGAGAGATGCAGGACAGACGGTAATGACAGTAGCTTACAACAACATTAATGAAAGTAATAATATTAGTGTTATAGTTCTGGCTACTGTGGTACAATATGTTGAAAGTATATATTAGTATCTGGCAGTATACATGTGTGATAATAATCATATGTGTATAATAACAGTAGAAGTATGACTAATGACTAATGATGGCAGCAGCAGCAGGAGGCATCTGGCAGGACCACGGCAGCAGCACAACCACACACGTCACGCTATCCAGGCACCGCTGCGATATGAGTTAACCTGAGAGACAGTGGAGCACAAAGGCTCCGGAGAAGAAGCCGAGTTAGTGACATCCAGAATGGCCGAGTTAGCAAGATGCAGTAATAGAATACGAGAGAAAAGGAGAGAAGGTGCCCGGTGTATTATAGGGGGGTCCTCCGGCAGACTAGGCCTAAGTCAGCCTAACTAGGGGCTGGTACAGGGCAAGCCTGAGCCAGCCCTAACTATAAGCTTTATCA